GAAAGAGCTGTAGCAGCGTTGCGAATCGGGGCTCCTTGGCGTCCTGCGCGCTGACTAATTACTCTCCAAATGCATTATTTAAAATAACCTTAATCCAGTAAAGTGGGCTTTTTGTGCGCTGCCTCATTCAGAAACCTGATGGCCTTTCTGCAGAATGGGATCATAGCAACCAGAGGAAAAGTGCTGGCCCATGCCGACGTCGGGCTGAAATTGTTTGCCTTTGACGCTTTAGAGCCATCCGGCAGTCGCTGGGCTCGCGCTGATCTCTCAGGGCAGGAGCTCTGCAGGTTTCTTCTTTCCCTTCCGCTATTTATTGCACTGCTTGAGGAAAAACGATCCAGCTGGTAGTTTTGGCCTGTAAATGGAGAGCGGTGCTCTCGTCTGGCGCTCTGTCATCCACCTGCAAAAGCCTCCAGCTCAGGCCTTTCATTCGCTCTCCCTCTTTTTTACAGGTCGATGGGCTTCTCTTCTACCACAAGCAGACCCACTACACCCCTGGCAGCACCCCGCTGGTGGGCTGGCTCCGGCCTTACATGGTACCCGAAATCCTCGGGCTCGCCGTGCCCGCGACTGCGCTCACTGCCAAACCAGACTACGCTGGGCGTCAGCTCCAGCAGATCATTGAGAGCAAGAAGAATAAAAAGCTGGCAGCAGAGAAGGGTCACCCGAGCGGCGCGGCGGCCGCGAGGAACGGACATTACGAGCTGGAACACTTGTCTACCCCTCAGCCAGCAAACTCTCTGGAGAGCCAGGATGAAGCAGTGAGCCAGATGGAGAATTAGGCTGCTGGGACAGACCGGTTGGGTAAGGAGAAAGCAAAAGGTTCCCTGCTTCTCACTGTCACTCATGCTCCCTGAGAGGGGGGCAAAGGTTATAAAATAGGATGGTTTTGTTTAAAGGGCACAAAAGCGGAATATCTTTCTCCAAGTGCCTCTGGATTTTTTTTTTTTATTTCCGCCCCCCCCCCCCCCCCCAGGCTTCTGTGAGGCCTTAACAGGATTGTCAGATTCTTTGCTAAGGCAGTTGTGCGTTGGGGAATGAAGCGATCTGTCCCCACGCCACAGGGTTCCCGGTTCAGCTCCTGGCCCTGCTTCTGTTAAAGCCCCTGGCAAAGCTCCAGGGTAAGAACAGTGCTCAGACCTCCGAGGTGCAGCTGCTGCTCGTAACCCCAGCCCCACCTCCCCGGCCCTGGAAATTGGGGGCATTTCAGCCTTTGATCCCGCTCCTTGCCGACGCCTTCTCAATGAAAGTTTTGCGGTCAGCCCGCTTCTAGTAACAAAAAGTTTACAGCGGGCTGCTGTAAATCCAAAGGCTGGGCTTTCCACGCCCACACGTTACTAGGAAAAACTGAATTTCCTCGCGTCGCAGCAGGCCCTGCCTCCGAGCACAGCTTTGTGCGGTGCGAGCGCGGCAGAAGCCTGTACTCGAGGCTTTTCTCAGTAGGGGGAGGAAGGAATGGTTTCGCTCTGAAAAACGCTAGCATTGATTGTGCCAAATAAAAGGTTTCTCAGAAAAGACAAATTCTTGAGCGTCTTCCTGCTACCTAAGGGTGGATGCGTGCTGTGCCTCCCAAATAGGGATTGACAAATCGGTGGCAGCGCTAACTGGAGCGGAGGAAATGCTCGTGTGGGTTTGAGTCTCCTCTGCACGCCGAGGTGCTTCGGTCCCTCCCCGCCGCTGCCCCGCACCGCCCGCTGCCTCCCCTGGTTTTCCTGGGGATGGAACCATCACACTCACCGCCCCCCGGGGTCGTTTTCCAGAGGGAGATTAAGGGCCCGCTCCCCCCCCCCCCCCCCCCCCCCCCCCCCCCCCCCCCCGGCGGAGGGGGCGTGGGAGATGAACTATCAGCCTAAACACGGGCGCTGGGGAGCCTCTACGAAAATGCCCCCGGGGGAGGGCCGGTCTCCAGGAGGAGATACAGAGAGCGGGGATGGCTGCCCGCAGATAGCGGGGGCACTTCTATCCTGCCCTCGCACCCGCCGTTTTTTCCCAGAAAAACGCCCGTTTCTGTGCCAAGCGTGTGGGCCGCCTGTGCAGCCGCTATTGATTAGAGCAGCGGGCAGCAGGAGCTGTCCTAACCGCGGCCAGAGCTGGCTGCGGGAGGGGAGGAAGCGGCACCCCAGCCCCACAGCATTTCGATGCGGCCGAGTGCCTTTTTTCAAAAGGCTGCTTATTATTTTTGTTAGATTGGTTTGGTTTTTTTTTTTTTATTTTAGCATGTGAAGCAACTGGCCCCGGGGGAAGAGGACAAACACCTGGGCTGCCTTATCCTCCCTATCCCTCGAAGGCTCAGGGCTGCTCCGGCTGCGGGTTCCCCCTACGCTTCGGCCTCACCAGCTGGCAGAGGACCGCGGGGAGAGCCCCGGCCGGGAGACCGCATCCAGCCTCCTGTCAGCATAGTTTTCCTTCCTGTCAGGCAATTAAACCCGGAGGTGGGTATCTGGATGTAAGATTTGTGCATCCCTGAGGGCAGAGAAAGCTGCAGCTCAGGTTACCGCCTCCCTGCTGCCCTACAGCCGCCTTTCAAGGTCCTCCAGCCCAGGGAGGGGAGTGGGCAGGAGAGAAAATACAGCTGAAGAGGGGCTGCCTTCAGCTGCTTGCTCCCATCGATGGAGGAGAGCAAGAGGGAAGCGACTGTAGCTTTCCGCCGGCTCCAGATGATGCCGCATAGTTTCCCTTTTAAAAGCATGAGCTGGGCTGGAGAAATAAATATTTGCGTTACAATTCCTGTTGGAAACGAAAGGGCTGTGTTTGGAGAGAGGGTGTTAAACGGAAGTCACCGGGGCCAACGCAGTTTGTTGCTGTGACTATTTTATTCGCTGGGTGCGATCCCGCTCCCAGCTGTTCCCTGCCCGGGAACAGGCGGCAGCTTCGGCAGTGGCCGAGGAGGGGTCACCCCACTCCGGGGGGCTTAAATTTAGTCTGGGGCAGGAGAGCTGAGCGAGCAGCTCAACCTGTGGATGGGGAGGCTCTGGAGGACAGCCAGCCAGCTCTCAGCCCGCATCCAGCTCCGGGCTCAGCCCCTTCCCTCTGCCCTTTCTTCCATTTTCTCCGAGTTAGGTGCACAGGCTCAGGCTGTGGGCACTTTGCCAACGCAGTCCTCCTCGGCTGAACAAAATGTCCCCCTGTCCCGGGGCCTGGGTTTTGTTTTTTTTTTTTTTTCGGAGGGGCCGCTGCTGTGCAGTGCTGGGGAGCTGGAGGGGGGGGGGGCCCTGCTACCCCTGGGTCCTGGCCCCTCCATCCATCCGCCTCCATCTGTGGCCAGCTGGGGATTGCAGTTTAGGGATTGTAGAGGAGGCGAGAGCAAAGAAACGGCTGGAAATCCCGGGCGCCTGTTTGCGCGGCGGGAGGGCTCCCACCCGCCCGTGGGGGAAGGCTGCGGGGCAGAAATACCGGCAAGGGAGGATGTCGCTGCCGGGAAGGGCCGGCGGGAGAGGCGAGGCTGCTCTGGGGAGCTGATGTCCTGTCCTGGGGTCACCGCTCCCACAGTTTGGAGGTACAGCATGCATCTAAATAATAATTAAAAAAAAAAAAAAGCCCGATTTTGGGCCCCGGGGAGGCTGGCTTGGCAGCGGGCTCACACAAACGCACAGCCCGGCCTTTGGGTTTCCTCGCCAGTCCCTCGCAAACCGGGGTGCGAGGGTGTCCCGGGCTGGAAGGCAGAGCCCCGGGGGTCTGCAGGCGCCTTTTCCAGCGCTGCCCCTTCCTCCCCTCCTCCGCCGGCAGCGCCGCTGGATGTCGGGCAGGGCCGCCCGCCACCATTTTAGCGGCGGCAGCGCTGCTACCGCCCGCCGCGGGATGGGGGGGGCGGGGGGGGGGCTCCTCCATCCCCAGCCCGGCCCGAGAGGCGGCCCCCCCGCCGGGGAAGGCTTCCTGCCCCCCGCCTTCCCCTGGCCGCCCGCCCACCTCCCGCCGGGGCCGGGCCGAGGGGAGGGAGGGGAGGGGGCTGCGGGCGCTTCCTGCCGCCGCCCCCGCCGGGGCAGAGCGGAGCGGGGCGGGGAGCTGGGCCCGGCCCAGCCCAGCCGAGCGGCGCTTCCCCGGGGCGAGCGAAACTTCCCGGGAGGCTGCGAGAAAGAGAGCTTTTAAAATTATTATTATTATTATTATTTTGTAATTATTATTATTATTTTTTTTTAAAATACATTTATTTGAAATTTTTCGGCGGGGACCCCGGGGCGGAGCCGCCCTCGCCGAGCCTGCGGCGGCCGGGAGGAGCCGGTGCCCGTAGCACCGCCGGCCCCCGGGGATGGGCTCCGGCGGGGCGCCCGCCGCTTAGCCCGGCCCGGCCCGGCCCGGCCCGGCTCCCCGCGGGCAGCGGGGCCGCGCAGCATGGCCGCGGAGCTCAGCGCCGAGGAGGAGCAGGTAGGTCCCCGCCGGGCTCCCCTTCCCCGGGCCGGGCTGGGCGGGACCGGACCCCCTGCACTGTCTATTCCCCCCCCCCCCCCCCCCCCATTTTTTGGCTGTTTTTTTTTTTTTTTTCCCCCCCAACGAGGCGGTTCTCCCCAAGGAAAGCCCCATCTGCAAAGCTCCCCCCCCCCCCCCCCCCAATCTGGGAAGCCACGCAGCCCCCCCGCCCGCACAGCCCCCCCCATTCCCCGCGCAGCGCGCACCCCAAAGGCCTTCGCGGGGCCTGTGCCGCGGGGGTGCCGCAGCGTGGGGTTGGGGATCCCGCACCCCCAAAGTGGCCTGCGTGTGTCCCAGGTCAACGGCAGCCTCTCCCCGCAGGCCTCCCCCCTCCCCACCCCCCCCCCCCCACTCCCTCCGTGGGCAGGCTGGCGTGGGGATGCGTGTGCACGCGCTTCCCACGCCCCAGGCCTCCCGTGACGTCCCGGCTTCCTCCGCCGGCCTTGCGTCACCGCGGGAGGATGTTGCCGGGCTCGGGGAACGGGGCCGAGAAACCAGCCGGGGCGCGTCAGAGGGGCGAGAGCAACCTTTGGGTGTCCCCCCACCCCCCCCCCTTCATCCTCATCCCCCGAGGATGCCCACTCGGGGGTGCCCACCCGGCTCTGCAGCCGCACCCCGAGCCACGTCCGCCGGGTTCCCCACGGGACGGGGATGGGAAGCCCGTGATGCTCGGGCTGGCCGAGGGCACGGCATCACACCGGCCACCTCGGGGGCCGCGATGCGAAGGCGAAAGGGACCACCACATGGTCGGTTTTCAGCTTGGTTGGTCGGTTTTCTTTTTTTTAAAACATCCCTTAGTCCCACAGGGAGGTTTAGAAGGGTCGGTTCGGAGACCTCGGGCTCCCAAAAGCCCCGTGCCCCCGCAGGGAGCGCTCGCCCGGAGCTGGAAGAGTCCGTCCCGCAGCCCACGCTGGTGCTCGGGAAACGCGGCGCTCACAGGCTTCCTCCTCCACCACACCTCCCTCTGATCAGCGCCGCTCCCGGGAGCGGTGCTGCTACCTCCGGGGTAATGAAATCTCGAGGAGTCGGGGGTGTTCGTGCCCCGTGTCCCCACGCGTGACTGTGGTTTGTGCTTCCCCTGCGTCGCGGAGGGGGCAAAGCTTCCAGCAACCGGGGTTTTGGAAGACCCCGCTCTGGCAGGGAGGTTTGGTTTGCCGCCGGCGTCCTGGGAGAGGGATCCGAGATGTTTGGCTTGTGCGGGGGTATCGGGTGGGGAAGACGAAGGGAGATTTGCTAAAACGGCTCCGGGTTTGGATCATCAGGCTGGGGTGGGGGAAGGCTGCCCTTGGTGCTGCCCTTGACGAAAATAATGGAAGTCTCTCTCTTTTCTCATGGGTAAATGCTGGTTGGGGCTGGGACATCCCCTTCCTGCCACCCTTTCATCCTCCTCGGGACCATCAGGATTTGCTCCGCTCTCCCCCCCGTTACCAACAGCAAGCCAGGGGCTGGGGGTGGGGGAGGAATTCGCCCCTCTCCTCTCCCTGCCCAGCCTTGGGACATCTCCTGCTCCGTAGGATCTCTGCAGTTCCCTCCCCACCCTACCCCAGAGCGACCAGAGGAGCCAAACTGATTTTCCTCGGGGGTTTTCAGCCTAGTTGCAGTTTTCACGGGACTTATTTCCGCTCCCCCTCCCCGCCCAGGCTGAAGAAGGAGGGTGGGTTTGCTGCCTGCGCAGCCCCGGGGGAGGAGGGCTTGAAGAGGCTCCTCCGTGTTCCTGCGGCAGTGGCTTTGTCACCACCCTGCCCTGGCGCAGCGAAGCGGGGACTTCGATGACGCCAGCGCTCCAAAGACCAGCATTGTTCAAAACGCCCGGCCGCGGACAGTTTCACTCGCAGCGCTGCCGGCGCTTACAGAAACGGGGCTTCTTGCTGCAGCTCTGGGTCACGGGCTTCGTTTCCAGCCTGCGGAGCGATCCCTGCTGCGCTCGGCTCAACACCTGTATAAATCCGTACAGGATCGGGGCCAGAAACGACGGTGAGACCCGGTGGAGCGTGCAAGGGGGGCAGAGCTGTGGCTGGTGCTGATGCTCGGCTCGGTAACTCCTGGCTTGTTGAATGTCGGCACCGGTAAGTTTAGGATTTCGTTTTGCTCCCAGGGAAAGCAGGAAGTCGTGGTTGAGCCGCCCCGCCAAGCCAGCGCTCGTTCTCGTGGGTCTTCCCCCCCTTGCAAAAAACCCGGCGTGATGGATGCTGGAAATGGGATTGCATGAAGCGTGCTGGGTTAAACGTTGAGGAAGGAGGCCTGAGCCACGCGTTGCATCTTCTCCCTGCTGCCACCGCGCCCCTCGGGGCACCTTTCCCATCTCACGCTGCGGCGTCGGCACCGGTCTCCATGCGAGGGCAGCGGGAGTGTGCCTGGCGCTCGCCCCCATCCCCCTGCCATCCTGCACGTGCGGGGGAAGGAGCATCTCTGCTGTTATTTTGGGTTGGCACCTCCAGCCCAGCCCTAGCTTTTGGGCAGCTGGGGACCCCAAGGGACTCCCTGGCAAAGCGGGGGTACGGCCGCTGAGGTTCCACATCTTAGCTAATGGATAAGATGTATTTCTATCTACACACCTGTGGACGTGTGTGTTGTGTTAAGGCTGAAGATGGTTTCTGTAGTGCCCCGTTTATTTTCCCATCCCTCTTGGATAGAGGAGAAATCGTTAGAAATTCGGGCCACGAAAGAATTGCTTTTGTTTTGGCAAAGCGGAGGCTGTTGGAGACGCAGCCGTGGGGATGAAGGCATCCCGTAAGTACAGCTCCCGGGAAAAGCTCCCGCTGGCTTCTGGCTGGGAAGTGGGGATGTGAGGCAGGGGGGTGTAAAACACCCTCGCTCCTTTGTTCCCCTCTTTGCCCGCTGCCTCCCCCCCAGTCCCTTGTCCCCAGCAGTTGCAGAGATGGGGGAATCGATCTGGCTTCTAAGCCGGTTGACCGCAGCACACGGCCGCCCCGGGAGGGCTCCCGGTGCCTGAAGGGGATTTTTTGCAAGGGGTTGGAGCTGGGCCACTGAAATCCGCTTTGAGATTCCTCTCGGTGCTGTTGGCGGCAGATCCAGCCCAATCCCACAAGTTCCCTCCCGGGCTGGTGCTGCCCCCGCCGCTCTGCGGGGCTCCGATACTGAGTTAGGGAGCTCCTGGCTGCGATGTGCCGGGGGTCTGGGCTGGCCCTTAGCAGCTTCCAGCAGCCGGGCGAGCCGGTAGCCCTCCCAAAACCGCCTGCTGCCCTGCCGGGTGGGCTGCGGGGAGACCCTTTGCCTCATCCCACGAGAGGGGCTCGCTGCCCCCGCTGAGCCTCGCGCCGCCGATAAACCCCAGCCCTTTGCTTCCTCCCGTCGGAAGTCATTAACGCCGACGATTTTTTCTGGCTGAATAGCTCCTGACATCCAACACCGCTCCCTGCTCCGGCAGCCAGCCTTCAGCGCTCGCTGTCCCTCCTCCTCCTCCTCCTCCTCGCGCTGTCATCGCCACCCTCCGCTCCTGCGAGGACGGGAACTCCGCCGTGTTGGGGTGTACTTGGGTGGGAGCGGGGTGTTTTGGGGTCTCCCCCCACCCTATCCGCATCCTTTGAGCGGTATGTGGTGGAAGGCTGGGCCGTGCTGCCCCGTCTCCCTCGGGGCTCCTGTATGGGACAGGGGGTCGATACGCAGCAGAAAGCAAAGCTGCTCCCATTAGCACGGGAGTTCAGGAACCCCAAGCCCACCTTGCAAACACAGCTGTAAAAATGTTTTGGAGCTTTTTTCGCCCGCCTTCATGGTTTTAAGCCTGATGGGAGGTTGCAGGTTGGGTTTTGCAACTCTGTTCTCTCAGTGCTGGCGTTGAAATTCCTTTCTCATTTTCTCCTGGTTTCGGGTGCGTACGGTGCTGGTGCTTTGGGAGGGAGCGTGCTCGTGCGGGATGGCCCCGGTGTGTTACGGGACCGTGGGGACCAGTGGGAACATCCTGGGACCCTCCTGCACCGAACCATTCTCATCTAGACTTCTGCAGCCGTGTGCAACTGGCCTCACTGGAGCCAGTCCATGTCCCGTAGCGCGTCGAAGCGTCGGCCCTCGGCACCGGTCTTGCTGGCTCCCTGCGTTCACACAGCCGGGTTCGCTGCTCCGCGGCGGAGCTGCAGCCCTGGGAGGCGGCTGCCGGGTTCCCACCGCGCCAGCGCTGCTGTGTGTCAACGGGAGTTTGCCACCTGTAAAATCCTCCTTTTGCTCCCCCTCTCCCTTCCACGAGTCTCCCGCAACCCTAAGGCCGTTTTTCCAACGCCGGCACTCCTACCACTTGCTCCCTTCCTCACGCTGGTGTTGCCTCTGTCTCCAATCCCCCCCGCCCCCGCCCTGACCCCCTTGGCCAGTCCCCGCCGTAGAGCCCCCCGCTTCACCCCAAATTGCTGCTGGGCTTGCCGAGCCACACTCAGCCCCTGCCTGCTTGCCGCGGGCCGCGTAGCTCCCACCGTGAGCAGGGATGCTCCTCGGGCACCCCTCCTCCTCCCACCCCATCTCACTGCACGCCCTTCCTCTCTCCCGCAGGCGACCAAGCAGTTCCTGGAGGAGATCAACAAGTGGACGGGCCAGTACAATGTGTCCCCGCTCTCCTGGAACGTGGCCGTCAAGTTCCTCATGGCCCGCAAGTTCGACGTCCTGCGGGCCATCGAGCTCTTTCACTCCTACCGGGTAAGCGAGCGGGGCTGGGTGTGTGTCCCCCTGCCCCCAGCCAAGGGCTTCCTGCTCTGGGAGAGATCTGTGGTCCCAAGGATGACCCTCCCCCTGCTTTTTTTTCTTTTTCCCCACTCCCTTATGAGTTTTATCCGGCTGGAAAATCCTTTTTCAGCCAAGGCGAGTCACCATGGAGATCTCACCGACCCCAATCCCCTCCCCTCCGCTGAGAGCAGCGTGCGTGCTCGCGGGGTGCCCTCCCGGCTGCCACAGCATCCCGCCGTATATAAAGAATATATACACACACATACCTTTCCCATCCTGGTTTATGCAAAGCTGCTCCTCCCTGTGCTGGGGATCGCGGTGTTGCAGCCAGTTGCAATCCGCTGCTGGAAAATGAGGCCGTGGAGCAGAGGTTTCCCTCGGAGGGCTGGGTGCCCCGCGGGGACGTGATGGTGTGGGGAGGGCTGGGGTGCCTGTGCCGGCCGTCACGGCGGCTCCCTGCCTTAGGAGACGCGGCTGAAGGAAGGCATCGTGAAGCTGAAGCCGCACGAGGAGCCGCTGCGCTCGGAGCTGCTCAGTGGCAAGTTCACCATTCTGGTAGGTGGGGGGGTATCGCTCCTTCCCCGAGTTACCCCAACGGGGCGGCTCGTCCCGGCTCCGCTCCGCGCGGGCGTCCTGGGGTGCCGTGGGGACCTGACCCTGTTTTTTCACCAGAGCGTGCGGGACCCCTCGGGAGCCTCCATCGCCCTCTTCACGGCCAAGCTGCACCACCCCAGCAAGAGCGTGCAGCACGTGGTGCTCCAGGCGCTCTTCTACCTGCTGGACCGAGCGGTGGAGAGGTGAGCCTGCCTCTGCCGAGGGACCGTGTCTTGCAGCGGCGGGTCCCCGGGGAGCCCCTTCCCTCCTGGGGGCGAGGGGAGGTGCTGCTGCTTGCTGAGGTTTTGACGAAATCCCTCCGAATAGGCTTCGCAGGGAAGAGATGTGCCGTCTCTCCGGGGAATGTGAATTCCTGAAGGTGAAGCTGTGGCTGAGTGTTTGCGTGCCTCTGGGTGTCCCACCTCTAATTAGGGGAGAGAAGAGGTTGAAATTCCCTCTCTTCCCTGGGTTTGAACTCAACCCAGTCATCCCCATGGAGGTGTTCAGCAGGGGAACGAAACTCCCGGAGCCATGAACCCGGCTCTTCACGGCCTTTCCCTGCCCACGTCCAGGTTTCAGTTTAGCAAAGCCCCTGATTCCTGCAGGCTTCGGCCAGGGAGGAGGCAGCCCCCCCACCGGCGAGACGTAACTTGAGCCCTGCCAAAAATACAAAGCCGGGACGTCCCATTTATTCCTGCTGGGCTGTTTCTGGTTTTGAACTTACCCATCACGGGCGATGCAGCGAGACAGGCTGAAGACGTGAGCCAGGCTTAAATAAGGGTTGTAGGAAGAGGTGGTGGAGCAGCTGGGAAATGCAGAAGCGAGCGTTAGGTCCGTGAGTCCTTCTGGAAGGACAGAGGGGGACTTTTTGGGGTCAGCAAGCTGAAGATGAGGTTAGCGTGGGGCAGATCTGCTCATGCAGGAGCCGAGCGGTTGGATGTTGTGGGGATTGATGTTGCTCTTTCCTCTCTCTCTCTCTCAGCTTCGAAACCCAGAGGAATGGGCTCGTGTTCATCTATGACATGGCGGGCTCGCAGTACACCAATTTCGAGCTGGACCTCAGCAAGAAGATCCTCAACCTGCTGAAGGTAACGGCCGCAAGTGACCCGGTGTCCGGGGACGGCGCGCAGGCCACTCGCTCACCGAGTACATGAAATCCTGTGGTTTTGGCATAAATTTTCCCACCAGCCCATGCCGACCACGTCTCGGGTGAGGAGCTCCAGCCCCGTAGGACCTGAGGAAGGCGTTGGGAGCCTGCCAGGCCGGACCCGGCCGGGGCTGCGGTGTCCCGCGGGTGGGAGGGGATCAGCTGTCCCCGTGCCGGATTCCTCTCGCAGCTGCTGGCAGCGCTTTTGGGAAAACAGATGCAAATTATTTTTTAATCATGCTGGCATTTCGTGCCTCCTCCCTTCTCCGGAAAAAAGAAATAACAGTAAATATTGTCCGGGGTGTGTTCTCTGCACAAATCCCAGCTCTCAGGCTTCACCTCTCCCCTGCAGAGCCAAACCCTCTGCCAACCTAATTCCAAGGAAATAATTTGTTTCCGTATCGGAGCATAAAAATAAGCGCGGCCGCACGCGAGGCACGCTTCGGATGCGGCGCTGCCACCTCGGGGTCCCTTCGCTGGGCGTCGTCTCCTCTGGGACGTGTGTGGGTGGGTCCCCCAGCCCCGGCAGAGAGGGGCTGGGGCGTGGATCTGACCCCTCCTGCCCTCAGGGTGCCTTCCCGGCTCGGCTTAAGAAGGTTTTCATCGTGGGAGCGCCCATGTGGTTTCGCGTGCCCTACTCCATCATCAGCCTGCTGCTGAAGGAGAAGCTGCGGGAACGGGTGAGCACAACCTCCCCCTCACAGACCCCCCCGACACGGGACCCTCGGCGGGGAGGGCTGAGGCTGTTTTCCCTTTTGGGACAGGGTGGTGCAAGCAGCTTGTGCCCCTCGGCCCCATCTGCTGGAAGCTGCTGAGCCCAAATCCATGGGAAACGGAGGCTTTCGCAGCCAGCTTCATAGGGCTCAACCCGCTTCGGTATTTTCAGCAAATACCTTGAAACCCTCTTGAAATCGCCTTCGATTTCTTCCTCTGCGGTGAGGCTGCCAGCAGCAGCAAGCGGAGGGAATGGTAAATGATTAAAGGGAAAAGAAACGTCTGCTGAGTGCCCAGGAGGAAAGGGAAGCTTAAATACCTGTGCTCAGGTCCTATCTGGCAAAGCCAAAAAAACCTAAACCAGTATCCTCAGCATCAGCGGCGCTGCTGGTAGAGCCCTTTTTCAGCCTGATGCCTCCCCGGGCTGGACTTTGCCCCTCTGCTTTTGGTGGGAGCTTGAAGCCACTTGCAAATTTGGAGTTGGTGTGGACTCCCACCCTGGGTACATGGCGGGGGGGGCAGCCCCTGCCCCACCACTGGTGTTCCCCTGGGTGCCCTCCTGAGGCAGGGAAGGAAGGGGGAAGACCCCACTGCTGTCAGGGGAAATCTCCGGGCTCCATCGGAACAGCGCCAGACCGTCGGCATCCTTGTCCCCGTCCCCAGCGAACCCTCTCCGTCCTTCTTGGAGTCACCCCTGCCCCTCCTCTTCCCCCCGCAGGTGCAGATGGTGAAGATGTCAGAGCTGAAGGAGCACCTACCCCGGGAATGCCTCCCCGAGTACCTCGGGGGATCCCTCAAACTGGACCCTCTGAGCTGGAACTGCCGGTTCCTGCCCCAGCAGAACGGGCACCCCGACCCGCTGGATGAGCTCATCCTGGTGCCGCTGGTGGCCCCCAAAGACAACGGCTCCGTCCACGTCCCCGGGCCCAAGTCCGTCACCCTTCAGGAACTGCTGGAGCACGTCAGCCACAAGCAAAAACGGGGCATCTACGAAGAGTACGAAGATATTCGGCGCAGGAGCCCGGCCGGCACCTTCGTCTGCTCTTTGTGAGTCAGTGGGGGGAAGGAGCCAGGTGTGGGCTGGCACGGGGAGCCCCTCTCTGGCTCCAAAAAAGCTGGGTCCCCCTTCCCCGTGCTTCTGCTGCTCGGCAGCGGCCCATCTGCCTCTTCTGCGGTGCTCTGTGTTAGCAGTGTTAGCAGTGGAGCCCCCCCTTTACGGCTCCCGCAGCCCCCGGGGGTAGGAGGGATTCGTGCGGGGGGACAGTGGGGACCAGGGCCTGGCCGGGACTCGGCTTCCCGAGGCTTTGGCCAGGTGATGGCAGCAGAGCCCAGGCTACAGGCGCTGGAGGCTTGCGCAGAGGGAGGGATGCTGCCTTCTCCTTTCCTGCCTGGAAAACATCCCTGCTTCCCTCTTCCCTGCCTCCCAGGGCACCCTACAACCAGGAGAAGAACCGGTACGGAGACGTGCCCTGCCTGGACCAAACCCGTGTCAAGCTGGCGAAGCCGTACAGCCGCCCGGAGGTGAGCCAGCCCACGATGGAAACTCGGGCTCCCACGTGAAGCCGACGCAGCCGTCCCGGCCGCGGGGCTCCGGAGGGCTCACGCTGTGCTTGCTTTTCTCCCCCTCCCCACAGTTGACCGATTACATCAACGCGAGCTTCATGGACGGCTACAAGCAGAGGAACGCTTACATCGGGACGCAGGGTATGGCCTGAGCCACCGAGGGGTTATTTTGCTCCTGGTGCGTGTGTGGGCTTCACCTCCCTGCCCAGCATCAGCCACCGGCCACGGTGGGGGACATCCCGGGAGCAGGGCGCTGCCAAGCAAGTCCCCCTCCTCTCTGGGTGTATTTACTCCCTTCCCAGTCCCCAGCCAGGAGGGAACAGAGTTTCTCCTGGGAGAAAGCGAGTGGGTCCATCCTCCCTCAGCCCACAAAACGGCTTCTGGGCTGAGGCAGACCCCTCTTAGCAGCGGCAATGGCAGCCCCCTCCTCCTGCCCCTAACCCAGCCCCTGGCTCTACCCCATCTGCCCCGGAGTGAAGCAGCGGAGAGGGGGGATCGGTGCTGAGCTGCTGGGATTTGGTGCTGGGGACATGGGAGCGCAATTGGTGGCAGCTCCAGGCAGGGCTGGTGGATCCACACCAGGACCAGTCCCCACAGGAAGGGGCTGTGGTCCCCCGCGAAGGGTGAGGGGGGCTGGCGGGGGACTGCTGGGCGAAGGGGCTTGCCCAAATCCGTTGGGTTTGGGGATGACGTGCGGGGTGTCCCTGCAGGGCCTCTGGAAAACACCTACGGTGACTTCTGGCGCATGGTGTGGGAGCAAAACGTCCTGGTGATCGTGATGACAACCCGGTGAGTGCTCACAGTAGGGGCCCAGCCCTGGTTTTCTTTGCAAAATGTAAGCATTTTTGCTGTTGGATGAGCAGCGCTGTGCTCTCTGCAGTGACCCTGCAGACGTGGTGCCAGCCAGAGCCCCGCAGGGTGGGGACATCACAGCGGGGATGGACGTGGGATCCTCAAGGGACTGAGGATGGGTGGCATGGGACATGTCCCTAGCAGGGCAAGGAGGACATCATCAGCTTGTCCTTCTCCCAGGCTGGAGGAGGGAGGCAGGAGAAAGTGCGGCCAGTACTGGCCCTTGGAGAAGGATTTCCAGGTGTGCTTTGGGGCCCTGACCATCACCAACCTGGGCGTGGAGAACCTCAACCATTACAAGAAAACCATCCTGGAGATCCATAGCTCAGAGGTGCGTGGCCGCAGCCGCCTGGCAGGGGACAGCACGGGGGTGCTGGAGGTCCTCTGTGGCCAGGGGCAGAGGAGGGGAGAGTGTCTAAACCCCTCGTTTTCCCCCAGACCAGGGAGCGGCGGCTGGTGTCCCATTTCCAGTATCTGAGCTGGCCGGACTACGGCGTCCCCTCCTCCGCAGCCACCCTCATCGACTTTTTGGGGGCCGTGAAGCAGCAGCAGAGGGTGGCGGTCAGCGCCCTGGGACCTCGCTTCAAGGGTCACCCCGGGGGACCCCCGATCGTGGTGCACTGCAGCGCCGGCATCGGCAGGACAGGTAACGGGGTGACCCCGCTTCTGGGGTGGAGCTCTCGGCGGTCACCTGTCCCCAGGGCTTTCTGCAGCCGTCGGACCTGGGCGAAGTCTCTGCCCCGCTTCTCCCAACGGTTTCGGGGCTGAGCTTCTCTCAAGGTTCTCCAGCGGTGGCTCTTCGGTGGCTGACGCCGTCCCTGTTGTTGTCCCCAGGTACCTTCTGCGCGCTGGACATCTGCCTGTCCCAGCTGCAGGACGTGGGCACGCTGAACATCTACCAGACGGTGCTGCGCATGCGGACCCAGCGTGCCTTCAGCATCCAGACCCCCGAGCAGTATTACTTCTGTTACACCGCCGTCCTCGAGCACGCCCAGCGCGAGGGCCTGCTGCTCGCCAACCACAGCCGGGCCGGCCCGGAGAAAAGCTCGCCGGGACACTGAGACCCGCTGCCTCCCCACAGAACCCCCCCTTTTCCCGTCCTCCCGGGGCTGCCGGAGCCGCCTCCGCACCCGTCGGGGCTCGGCAGAGGCGGCTGCCCGGCGGTGGCCGGCGGCTGCCCAGCCTCGGCTACTAGCCCTGCTCTGGAACTGTGCCTTATTCACACCAAACCGGGGCTGCCGCTCGCCGGGGGGTGGAGAACGGCGCGGGAAGAGGCTCTCGCTCCTCTCCGCGGTATTTCTGTTGGGGGGTTTGGTTGTTCGGGGAGGTGGTTTTTCTTCTCTTCGAATTGTTTCTTTATTTTATTTTATTTTTTTTGTTGGGACCATCTGAAATGTATCTAGAGAGGGGCTTTGTAAAGCCCTAGGAAATGTATTTCCAGTCCTGCCCTGGCCTGGGGCTTAGGAAGAGGCGCCTGCTTCAGTCTTACCTGCCACTACGTCTGTGTGTCTGTATGTATGTGTGTATATAATATATCCTTGCTGTGCCCAACCCTGGCTATTATATAGATACATATATACAAGCACCCTTTTTAGCAGCTCCTGCTGGTCCCCGCTGTCCTGCCGTCTCGCTGCTGTGTTCCCAGGAGCAGTGAGTTTGGTCCTGGCTCTGTCTTGTCCTTCCTTTTTCCCTTTCCTGCCCTCCCTGCTCCTCACGAGCAGCGTTGGGACTCGGTACCCGCTCCCATCCCACGGGAGGCACGGGGTTGCTCAGCAGCATCCCCCCCCCCACCCCCCACGCCACCGCTTTCCTTGTCTTATCTTCCTCATCGTCATCTCCTGCTGGGAGATGGCAGCTCTGCTCCCAAGAGGAGGAGCTGGAGGATTTTGGCCACGGCGGGCGGGTGGGATGGGGGGCGAGGAGCTCGCCTGGCGTTCCCCCGCCCCTCGGGGTGCAGCAGCGGGAGTCACTAGGTACGAGGTGATGGGGACAGACAGGGACCGACCGGCTCTCCAGGTTGCCCGGCTTTTCCAAGCTGGCGGTGGGAATCCGCGGGCCCAGCCCTGGGGTGAGTCATGGGCTGGCAGAGCGCTGAGCAAAAAAACGCCAAAACCCTCGAGAGGCAGCGAGCCGAGCTCTGGGGCAGCAGCGCCGGCCGGGGACGGCTGCCCCGGCCCCCCTGGGGAGCTGGGACCGCCAGTGCCTGCGCCTCGGTGACTTTATACTTGTAATAAGCTCTTTGAATGTGTATATTCTTATTTTTTTATAATCTTGGGGGGGGGTGGGTGTTGGGGTTTTTTGTTTTAGTTTTTTTTGGTTTTTTTTTTTTTTTGTATTTAACATTAACTTGATCCAAGCCAGAGCCAGAAGTATTTGTAAATGTTCCTATTTTGCTCTTGTTCAGAGAAACATTTTTGTTGTTGTTACTTTTTGAGTTTTGTTTTGTTTTTATTTTGTATCGGCACAAATATACTACCGGTGGCCAGTCCTCTTTGCTCTCGTGGTAGAGTTAGTCGGGGGCAGGAGAGGTGAGGGAGGAATTTAGGGCTCTGCATACCCCACGGTCCCCAAAAGCAAGCTGGCTCCATCCCTGGGGACCTGCTGCAGCCCCCTGGCACTTTGGGGGGGTACGGGGTAGGACTTGCAGGGGGCTGGAGGGCTCAGGGCAGCTGCCCTCAGAGCTAGCCAGCCCACTGCTGCCCTGGGCGAGGCCCTGTGAGAGCGGTAATCGAGCTGTGGGCAGCTTCCCTGGGCCGGCAGGATAACGGCAGGAGGGAGGCAGTGCCCCATGAGCTGGGGGGATAAAAAGCCACCCCCCTCCGAGCTCCTGCCTCTTTTCCCAGGGCCTGACCAAGCCCCAGAGCATCAGTCCCCTGTCCTGCTTCAAGCACTGGGCTCTTTAGAGATTCTTTTTCTTTGCGTAGACCCTTCTTCCAGCTGCCACCTTCCTCCTATCTATTTTTATGAATAATTATTTAGAAAATTCCCAGGGCTTTTGGCCACCCTGCTGAGCAGTCCAGGAAACCAAACCTCTGCCTGTGAGGAGCCCCCTGGGTCAGGGCTGGAGGGGAAGGCTGAGCAAGCGGACTCTGCCTGTGCCTGGCGAGGCTCAGTGATTTTTGGGGTGGGGGGGGTTGCCTCTAATACAAACGCTGCCCACAGCGAAAGGATGGGCAGCTGCTGATCTGAACAAGACATACCTGATCCCGTCGCTGCTACCCGTAGCGCTCAAGGGATGGAAGCAGAGATCAAAGGAGTGGAGTCGTTGGACGCTTCTGGTGTTATTTTCTCAGTGCCTACAGCTGTGGTTTGGGGAGCATCCGCCACCTTCCCGTGTTTGGAAGCGTTCTGCTGTAAAATGATGCATGGTGGCAGTGTTGGGGAAAGGCATTTCGCTGCTGGATTCGGGGCCGAGGGCGTCGCTTCTGCGCTGCCGGACCTGCTCTGAGCAGGCGTGTAGGGCACAAAAACACGCTGAGGGCAATGTGGCTGGGCTGCCCACGGGCTTTCCCGGGCTGACAGCTGGCCCTGGTGCCTTTGGGTGCAAGCGATGCCAGGCCCGGAGTGGCAGCCACAGCCTGAGGCTTCGGGGTGAGGACAGAAAAGAGGTGGCTGCTGCAAATCAAGCCCTAGAGCCAGCGGGAGAGCACGTGCTGGGCTCCCGGGTGAGGAAACGCCAGTGAGTGGGAAGAGCAGCACCTGTGTTTGCTCAGCTGGAGTCTGAAAAAGCCAAGGAGGACCAGCGTCTTTCTGGGACTGGCAGGGGGGGAAGCTTTCCCTGGAGCTCGAGGTGTGGACAGGCTTGGCGGGGCCAAACACACGGGCTCGGTGGCTGGAAAAGAACGGGAGGCGTCAAGGGGTGCGTGCTCCGGCACCCGTGGCTGGGTGAGGGTGGGTGTTCTGAGCATCCCTGGAGCTCTGCACACCCTGCCTGGGGAGTGCTTGCGTTTCAGCTGGAGCGTCCTGTTCTTCTAGGTACCATTTTCTGCCCTGCTGTGCTCCTCGAGCAGCATCAGCCCACGCAGTTGGACCTGCAGGGTGGCTCCTCCAGCTCAGGCTGGCCTTGAGTTTCCCTCCTGGTGCCTGTTGCAGGGTGGCCCCAATATCTGAAGGAGTCCGATGTTCTCCAGGAGGAAGGAGCCCGGAGCCCTCCCTCCTCGCTGCCAAACATGTTCGTCACGCCAGCTGGACTCTCTTGTTGCCACACCTGCAGAAAGGGGGTGTTTGCGGCTTGTTTGCATTCCCGTGGTGTCAGCAGTGGCTCTCCCTGGCTCAGCGGCGTTTTCAGCAAGGTGTCGGGACCCAAAAGCTGCAGTTGGTGGCAAGCGTCCCACGTGGGCCCCACGGCTGTGCCCGGCCCCCATCTCCCTTCCCCAGGCTGCAAAATCCCAACCAAGCCTGTGCTGTGGGCGTGGGTAAAGGCAGTCGTGACTTTCAGCTTAGTTCCCTACAATGTGGTCACAGAGAACTGAAAAATTTCTGAGGAGACCCAGGTCCTGGATGGCTGTCGGTGTCACAGTAGGAATACCAGGCAGTGTGGTGCTGAAGGATGTTTAATCAAAAAGCACTTCAGGTTCATGTTAATATATATATTTTTTAAGCTTAGTTTTTTGACTTTTAAAATGCTTCCCTTTTTGACTCTTCTTGTGATAAGATCAGCCCATCAGTGGTTTTGGACATTAAACTTGAGGTTTGGGGATTTTTAACCAGTCTGGTGGCCTTTGACAGACAAATGACAGCAGAAGACGGGGGCAGAGGATTTCTGCGGCTGTTCCCACCCCTCGGGCTCACCCCGCAGGCAGCACGAGAGGAGGTTAACCCGGAGAAAACCCCGCTCGGGTGAAGACGAGAGGGCAGATCACCGCCTGACTGGGAACCACTCGGATATGCCACTGCCGTAGACCTCGGCAGCTCCCTTCGAGGAGGGATGCAGATCCCATCTGTGCTGGAGGCGGAGGAAAGGGTTGTAAGCATTTTTCCATGGGAAAACAATCCAAACTCTGCCTCCCCTCTATTTCCAGGGTTGCGTTTCTTGTCAAAGCCAGCGTTTTCAGTCCTCTTGCACAACACAGGGTTTTGTTCCATCCACTCCTCCTCCCTGTGCCGGCAGGTCCCAGCAGAAATATGGATTTCTGTGGAAATGACCACTTCACGCAGAGAGCCAAGCCTTGCTGGAAAGTAAAACTCCGTGTCGTTTGGAGAGCGGTTTGAGAAATGGGCGGCTGAGTGCAGGCAGCGGGTTTGCTTTGCCTTGCCTGCAGCATCTCCCCTTTGCCGGAGCACCCCAGGGATGGGGATCACAGCGGGGACACCCTAAACTGAACCAAGCCCACGAATGAAATCCCAAGTGCTGGTTGAGGCTAGAAATGGGATTTAAAGCCGTTGCAGGGAAACCCCAAAGTGGCGATGCCACCCCTCTGCCTGTCTCGTTTGGTTTGCTGGGTTTCTTGGCTGCATTGCACACCGCCTCGCTAATTACGATTACTTTAGTGCTTGTAATTTGCCCAGCGCGTGTTGAGCCCTGGGAGTTTGGAAGCAGCCTGGCTCCGGAGCGTTTCATTTCTCAGTCCTCCTGCTTCCTTGCCACCAGCTTCCTAGGCTCGGGCTTGGTCCCCAGCGGTGCAGCTGCTGCCGCAACTTCAAACGCCCCTGGCCAGAGACCTTCCAGCAGCTAAAGCAAGCCGCAGCTGCCAGCCAAACAGGCAAGAGGGATCCTCCTCTGCTGCGTCTGCATGTCCTGGCCTCCTGGCAGCACCCAGGGGCTGCCTGCTCCCTGCCCTGGCTGGGGTTAGAACTGAAAACAGCAAAAGCATCTGGAAAGGGGGGAAAAAACAAACAAACAAACGTTTAGGCCGTGTTTGAGTGATGATGCTTGAAATATGTATTTTAATAGAAGTTTGGAGCATATATGTTATTATTTTTCCCCCTCCTGAGTGTGCTCCGGATGACCAGACAAGCAGCAGGCCCGGTGACAGTTAATCCGAGGCCAGGCCTGGCTCCTCCACTCTTGACTTCAGGCAAGTCAGGGGGCCGGTGCCTGCAGCCAGAGGGGAAGCCAGCAACTCCCCCCACAACTTTATAAGCTCTGAGGGAAAAAAAAAAAAAAAAAAAAAAAAATTAAAACCCGCAGGCGCTGCCCCGTCTCCGGCTGGTGTTTTAGCAACGGCTGAGGGGACGGTTTCCTGCAGGGCCGGGGGTCAGCTCCCTCCCGCCCTCACGGCGAGGCCTCTCCCTCAGCAGCCGCCCCGTCCCCGCCGGTGGGCGGTCCGGCCGTGACGATCGGTACCGCGGGGCCAATCCGCCCCGGGGGGAGTTCCCCTCCATTCAGGGCTCCTCGCCTGCGCGTTGAGGGGTATGTAACAGCGGCTCCCCCCTCGCCCCTCACGGCGGGCCGGGGGCGGGGGGCGGCCCGGCGCTGCCGGCGGGCTGAGGGAGGGAGCGACGCGCGCGCGCCAACGGCCGCCGGCGGGAAGCGCGCGGCGGGAAGCGCGCGGGGAAGGGAGCGGGGGGGGGGGGGGGGGGGGAGGGAGGGAGTGTGTGTGGGAAGGGGGGGGGGAGGGGGGGGAGTCGGCGCCGGCCCCGCCCCCCGCCCCCATTGGCCGCGGGGCGGCGGGCACGCCCCCCCCTTCCGTGCGTGTGTGTGAGTGTGTGTGTGTGTGTGTGTGTGTGTCCCGTCCGTGTCTCCCCCCCCCCCACGTGTAACCGACCCGCCCCACGTGGGGCGCTGCCATCCCGGAAGTGAAGGGTCGGGGACAAAAGGCAGCGCCGCCCCCGCCGGCGGGGTGGGGGGGGGGGCGGCTTGGGGGGCGTGTAGGGGTGGGGGGGGGGGAGTGTGTGTGTGTGGGGGGGGGGGGGGGGGGGGGCGCGGTAAGCACGTGCGCGCGCGCGCCGGGAAGGAGGGGGGGGGGAGGGGGAGGGACGCGCGCGCGCGCGCGCCGCGGCCGATGTAAACATTCCACAAAAGGGCTCCCCAGAGAAGGGGCGGGGCCTCTCCGGGCGTGGGCGGGGCCAGTTCCCCGCCGCGTGGGCGGGCTCCCCGCCGTGACGGCCGCTCTGCCCGCCCGCCGGTTGGCTGGCGGTTTGGGTTCGCAGCCAATGGGGCAGCGGGGGAGGCGGGACGGGGGCGGGGCGCGCTGCTTATACGGACATTTTTCTTCGGCGGTCGGTCCCCCCTCGCCCCCCCCTCTCCGCTCTTCCCTCCCTTCCTCTCCACATCCCCTTCCTGGGGGCCGCGGCCAATAGGGGAGGGCGAGGTGGGCGGGACCACGGCAGCGACTGGCCGCGGGAGTGACCGGCGTGCGGCGCGCCCAATGGGCGTTCGGGGCTCCCCCCCTGCCCGGGGAGGGGCGGGATTTCCCGGGGAACAGAGAAGCGGGCAGCGCTCCGCCGCGGCGGCCGAGAGACGGTTACTCCATCTTACCCCCCCCTTCCCCCGCCGAGCCCCCCCTCCCCCCGCCCGGGGCCCCGGCGCCGCCCCCGCCCGCCCCCCCCCCCTCCGGGAGGAGGGGCGCGGGGACCCCCCCCCCCCCCCCCTCAAACCTCACCGCGCCGCGGACAGCCCGCCCCCGCCGCCCGCCCGGGAGGAGCCCGCAGCGGCCCCGCCGCCCCCTGACCCTGAGGGAGACCCGGCCGCTGCGAGGGCCCGCTTCGAGGTAAGGGGGGGCTGGGGGGGGGGAGGAGGGGGGGTCTCCAGGCCCGGTGCCGGCCCCCTCCGGCGATCCGTAGGGGGGCGGGGCCTGGCGCCGGTGCCGCGCGCGCTGGCGGGGGGGGCGGGATGAGGAGGAGGAAGAGGAGGAAGGGGGGGGGGGGGCGGAATTCAGTCTCCACGTCGCGGTTCCCCGGGGGGAGCCCCGGCCCCGCGCGGGTGGTCGCGCGTTCTCCCGCCCCGCCCCGCCCCGCCGGGCGCGAAGCGGGAGGTGGGGGGGGTGGTGTGGGGGGGGCGGGGGGGGGGGGGTTTGTCCCGGCCCCGGCATGGCGGGAGCGGCGGGCGGGGCAGGCGCCTCCCTCCGCCCCTCCTCCCGCCCGGTGCCGCTCCCGGGCTGCGGCGGGACCGCCCCCCCTCCCTCCCCTTCCCGCATTGCACGCCCCCGGTACCGGCCGCATTGCGCGCCGGGTCCTCCCCCCCCCTTCCAAAAAAAAAAAAAAAAAAAAAAAAAATATATATAAAAACGAGAACCGGCTGGGGTCCCCCAGCTCCCCTGCCCGCCCCAACTTCCCGGAGAAGTTGCCGTTAAAACCGCTCAATAACCGCCCGGCGGGGGCCCGCTCCGCCGCCGGCTCGTACCCCGGGGCCGGTCCCCGCGCCCCCGCCGAAGCGGCACCCGGGATCGCCGAGAGTTCCCCGGGATCGCCGAGGGTTCCTCCGTCGCTTTTCGGAGAGCCCCTATTGCAGCTTTCTAGCTCGACACCGCAGCGCTCCGTAACGACCTGTTGGAGCGACGTGTAGATATATGGAAACCGGAGAGCTCCTCTTGCACGCATTAATTTTTAAGCGTTTTTAATAGCAATCTGGCATCCTTTTCTTACACGTCCTCCCCGTGCCTTGAACTAGTCAGAGACTTCCACCTGATATTTCTGCTCAGTTTTTTAATTCTTCAGTCTGTTGTACATCCATAGAAGCGACTTCAGGTTTTTTCCAGGGGTTGTGGGAGGCTGGCCACAGAGTTCAGATAGCTTTAAAAATACGAGCGTGCTTGGTGTCTACTTGACTAAATACTGCGTTTTCCCAGCCCAGGTTCAGAATGAGTTTTAATCGTCGTTAGTTGCGCAAATAGCACGTGTAATCAGTGTACTGATGGAAGGGGTACATCCCAGAAGAAATGCATTTCTGTGGACTGCTATAATTGTGAAAAACTGAAAAATAATTTGTTAAAAATAGTGCTGGAACAAGTGGTCAAAGGCATCTTGAGCTGTGCATGGATGTTTAATCTCCTGCACTGTCCAGAGGAATCAAAACCTGTTTCGTGTGCTAAAATGTAGCTTAAGGATGACATAATACCTTATGTTTCTTTTCTAACTTGTTGCTTTTATATTCCTCAGTCCCGCTAAAAGGTGTGGGGTCGGTAAACTAGTGGGAAATGCCCAACTTATTTTGGTACAGTTCTATCTGCACTTCAGTCTTCTGGTCCTAACTTGTAATTAAAAAAAAAATAAAATAAATACAGTTTCAAAGAAGTATACATTGTTCTAAAATACTGTGCTGTTAATACTCTATAATAAAATGGCACCTTATGTTAATACAGTAATTTTACAGCACCTGTAAAATTCCTTCATCACAGAAAAGTGCTTTGGCAGCCTCGTGTCAGCCTGTGCTGGATCTCCAGGAACAGAAACCCACTTTTTAGGGTCTTTTCCTCCCTGTCCTGGTGAAGTTAGCAGTTTTTCCAGGCCAGCACGCTCTTTGCAAAAGGGAGCTGCGCTTTCTTACCCCAAAACATCTCGTCAGCGTCCCTCCCACACACCGCTTCTGGTTAAGATACATGATCTCGGCGGGAATTTGTTTGAAAAGCTTCAACGTGATCGTTCAGCCAGTAAAGCAGCAGTGATTTGCTAAACTTTGGGGAAACTCGGGGTGATGTAGACTGCTTTTGCAAACAGGGTGGGGAAGGGGGCTGCTCGTCCCCCGCTCCTCAGCCCGGATTGCCGGAGGAGCCCTCCGCGCAGGCTCCTGGCACGTGTGGGTCTTGGAGCCGGGAGCATCGCGTTGGAATTGGCAGGCGGATCATTTACATTTCCAGGATTTACGAATCGTTTTCTGTCCAGATTGCTGTTCTAGTCTTCTCCAGCGTTGGAAAGCTTTTATGGCTGTTAAAGCTGGAACAGAAAAGAACAGAAAATCCCGTAATAGCTGTCGTTTTAGCCTGGTAGGCAGGGGGTGCGCTTTTGGGGACGTGCTGCTCTTTTCCAACTCCTGTGGGGTCTTGTCTCTTTTTACGTAAAAATAAAGTATTCTGATAATTCTCTCTGTGCATGGGGAAAGTGTACTTAAGAAAAGGAGCAAATCAATGCTAACCTCTGTTGAGTGTAAAGCTCGGTCGGGGCCGTGTCTCTGCAGTGGGGTTTAACACTCAGGCCGTTTGCCGCTTTGGCAAAGCGCGGATCAGTGCCTTACCAACTTGTTACCCCTCTGGACGGAGATGAGTGGGGTTTATCCGTGTCCCGTCTGCCTCGTGGTGGGTGCTGGCACACAATCCACAGGCTGTCACCGTGTCACCTTGCAGAAAACTCTCCTAACTGCTCCAAAAGCTTTGCGTAATGCTTTTCCGGAACCTTTTCCTTTTGGACGCTTCTCATGTCATTTTGGAATGACGCTGGTCACGGGTGTGCCTCTCTGCACTGCACCCCTTTGTAGCGGGGCCGGGGGTTTATTCCCATGTTCCAGACAAGGGATCCAGGCTGTGTGGCACCATGCAAAAAATATACCAGCGATCGCTGGACAAGCTGGGTCATGTTCTGGAAGTCGTGAGGCTGGGTGAGTGCACAGACAGCGGCGCTGCCGGAACCTGAGCCGGCTGCTTTCTAGCAGGCACCGTGATATACGACATTTAAATCCTACGGAAGGCTTGTCCTGCAGGACACCCACGACAGCTCCGGGCTCGGAGGAGCCCCTCCAGGATCCAGAGCCATAGCTGAGGCTTACACTTGCTGCTCCAGAGTTTTGCGTCCTTTCTCCCTCAAAAGGAAACCTTTTAACACCCCCCCACCCCCCCCCCAACATGTGTTAAACACGTCATCTGCTGCTATGCGGTTTCCCTGCTCTTTTTCAGAAAGGTCCTCACTCTGCGGGGACCAAAATCCTCTCTAGTGGCACTTTCACAAGTTGCTCATGAAGATGGTGTTTAGCCACAAGCGTGTTGTGGTTCCAACAGGTGCCAAGGCAGCAGACCTTCCCGCTTTGCTTTCTTCCTATTCTGTATTTGACTTTTGCTTTTGATTCTGACACCTGTTTAACAGCTGAGCTCTAATGCCGGAAGACCCTGTCTATTTGATTGGAAAACCTGAAATAAAGAATCGGTATTAGTTTCTAGCTACATAGATTTTTGAGATTTTATTTGGTAGAAAGCTGGGCAGCGGAGCTGCCATGGGAGAGGCAGTTTTGCGAGGGAATAGGAGACTACCCAGGCTCTCCCGCCTCTGTTGCTCCCGCAGAGGAGTGCGCAGGCAGGAGGGGAGCCGGGCGGTGAATCCAGCCTTTTCCCCGCTTTGTTCCTTCTCTTTCTGTGTCAGTGCCACTGCTCCTCTTCTCTCCACGGTACCAGAGGGGAAGGATGCGCTCCACTTACGTTTATCGGTCCCACTGGCTTATGAGAGGCAGATGGATGGGGAGATCCTCTGATGAAGTTGGCGGGGTAGAATTGCATAATTCTGGGGGTGTTACCGAGATGCAATGTACCTTTTAAATTTTTTTTTTTTTCTTGCTTCACCAGCCAAGGATCCTGTGTGTGTTTGTGATATGGCTGCCTGATGCGCCCTGCCTGTAGCACTAAGCAAAGCTGGTGAGCTGGGAGGTGGCACAGGTGGGAAGATCAGAAGTGCGTTCCTATGCAGTGACGTTTCCCTGTGAAGGGTAACACTAAAAGCCTCAGAAAAGAAAAAAAAAAAAAATGCAGTTTTCATCCTCCTGTAGGCAGAATGTAGTGTACTCTAACTGAAGGTAAAGGGCAGTTTGGGTAGAATTGTTGCTGGGGAAAGGGGATGCAGTTCTCCATGGGCTGCGTGGAGTAGGACTTGGTCTGTTCAGTTATTGCTAAGCTCTCCTACGTGCCTCAGGTTAATGCTTTTAATGAAGGAAAATACCTGAGGTTTGTGACTTGCTTTTTGCCTCGTGCAGTCCTTGCTGTATTTTGGGGGCTTTTTTTTTTTTTTTTTTCATCCCCAAATTAAGATTACAGGCGATGCAGTTTGAATTGGGGCTTTCTAAATCTTAGAGTCAAAGTCCATAAGGGGATGCCAGGGATGTGTGCTACGTTACTGAGAAGACAACATAAAATAAGCCTAGTACTGTTTGTAATGTCGCCAAAGTGGAGGGTAAATAGCTGATACAAGTCCGTGGCGTTACTGATTGCAATTTTATGTTTATCCTTGAAATACCTTTCCATGTTAGCTGGGCTTTGTCATCAGCAAGGATGCCGAGAGAAATCAGTTGTCACTGAGGGTGGGAGTGGGTGGAACTGCCCCTTTGAGCTAAATCAGTTTAAAATGACATGTGTAGTCTTGGGTTTCATCACAGTCTTTCTTCCTTATAAGCCCTCTGGTGTGCTGTAGGAAAGGTAGGACTTGCTGCACAACAGATCTCTCCACCTTTTGAATGGAGGAGATCTTTGGGAGGTGCCAGGTCAAGATCAGCAGAACCTCAGTGAGGAAATGCATGTCCTTTGGGAGCATTCAGCATCATATTTTCTTCTGCAAGATGCCAACCAGTTTCTGCTTTGGCGCTGGTTTGCTCGCCCCTCGATGCTTTCCCCTCTGTAGAGTTTCGGTGGTGGGGGATGCACAAAGCTAAGGTCACTAGTCTTCATCTAGGTACAGCAGAGTATCAAAATCATCTCTCTGCTAGGATTAAAAAAGCCTGTGAATTAGTAATCTTCATTAAGTGGTGGTCTGCTGTGAGCCACTCTTACACAGAGGATGCAAACCCTAAGTAGGAGTTTAGCAAAGTGTTACTTAATTGACTAATGCTATTGACTTGCTTATAATATTGACTCTCTATATATAGATATTGACTATAAGATGAAATTTTAAAGTCGAAGCAGGTACAGTGCTTGGATAGAAGCAGGGTCCGAGCTCAGTTAGCGAAGGTGAGGGGAATTCAGAGGGAAAAAGAACCTACAGGAGCTTTAATTTTCATGAAACAGAAGCTTTAATGTCGACCATACAGCAAAATAGATTTCTGGACGATTTCTCACTTGGTCTGTGAGAATCAGGAGCTTCAAAACCTGATGTTCATGCTGTTGGTGTGTATGTAGTAACGTATTCTCGGTGCTACCATGATTCCATGGCCTCGCAGGGCTGAGATACTTTGGTGCTTCCACAGGGAAAAGGCTTCTTGGTCAGCCTGAGGTGGCATTTTAGTCTTCATAAGGGCACGTGAGTCTTCCAGCCGTCTTCTATCCTCAAACAGCCTCTCCTTTACAGGTTCCTTAGTCCATCCAAAGCGACAAGTGTGGAGTGTTGCTTTGGGAAGCGACACACAAGGCTGGGACACTTAACAGCCACCACACCACATATACACCATGTATACACATATATACATCTACACACACCCCCCCGCTGTCGCAACGCGTGCTGGAGCCATTTCACTTCTTTATAGCACATCACATGTGAGGGGTGGGTTTTTCTTTTTTGGGGAATGTTCCTGCTTTGTGAATATTGTGCGTATGTGTCTGCAAACCAGCAGCTCTTGGTTGCTTCTGTAGGGCTGGAAAGCTGTTGCACCATCGAAAGGGTAAGGGGCGAACCAGCCTGAGAGACCAAAAGAAGGTGGAAGGGCTGGCTGGGGTACCAGTGCTTAGAGCAGAAGGGTATCCAAGTTGGTGAGTGGGTTATAAATAGATGCCACCAAAGCTTTGCCCAGACTTTACTCATGCAGTCAGCCATTGTCATGCAAAATCCTGGCTACCTCTGCTTGTGGGATGATGGTGCGTGGCCAGATTTGCTGGCGTTGCTCAGTTTAGTCCCAGCCCTATTAGCATAAAACTGTACGTTTTTACACAGCTAAATGGGGGCTGTGCTTGAGGGGAGTCTCTCCAAGTTAACCTGCGTAGCTCTTTATTTGTCAGCAGAGACCTGCTGAATGAAAAGACAACCAGTGCAGGCACCATTAGCAAAATGAGCTCCTGGAGTGTGCTCCTCTGCTTTCTGAGCGTATGCTGGAGGTCAGACCTACTTTAGGATTTGTAACTGGTAAATAAGATCCAGTTATCAAGCTTTCTCCTTTACTTGGGGTGGGGAGTCCTCCTCTGCCTCTGCCAGCTGTCTTCTACCTGCCGGGTGCTTTGGGGACCTGCTAAGGGACTGTTCTGAGAGGTTAAACTTGAAGAGCAACTTGAAAAAGAAATGAAGTAATCTCCCTTCTTGTTCTACCCCCTCCAAGTGAAAGGAGGGACTAGTAGAGAGGGACACGGAGGGGAAACCACTTTGTTACACAAGGCCTGTGTTTTCAAGCCCACCTTGGTCTATTCTGAACCACTGTCCTGCCGGCTCCCGTTCACGTATTTGATGTGCACCGAGATATTGGTGAATGATCTCCGGGTTATTTGGTTAATGATGGATTTAGACTGTGAAGAGCTGTCCTGATATGGTAGATAAGAATTGGCTTGGTTGGCTGCTGTACCGTTATTCGGGGGGAACTTCATTCCCTCTTGTTTATCCATGTGTCCACGTTAGCAATGAATGTGTTTAACTGCACTGGAACCGAAAAAGACTTGCTTTGGAGACGTCCTGATGAATGAGAGGCCGAAGAGGGTGGATTTCACTCTGTTCTCTGTCCATCAAACACCTCAATAGGCTGCATATGCTTTTGAGCACTCGGTGGTTTGATGAACAGCGGATAACATCTCAAGGATGGCAAACACTATTGATGCGCAGTGGAATTTGCTTGCAGAAAAGAGCAGGTGAGTAGTTCACTCAGAGCAAAGAATTCGTGGCACTTTTAGGAGCGGGACAGTGGCAAAACGACCTGTCAGATTTGAAGTGAAATGAAGTTGCATAAAGCCAACTGAGAGTGTGGGGCAGGAACGTGCCTGCCTGTTGCAGAAGCAAAAAAGTACTGGCGGGTAAGCGGGAGAGCTGCTGCGGGGCGGTCGCCGGCGTCCCTGGCAGGCAGGAGGATGCCAGCCGCCGTGCCTGCCCCGCCGTGCGCGCCTCGGCTCGCGCCGCCGAGCGGGGCCCTGATGCCGGGAGGGTCGTGGCTGCGTGGCAGACGGTATCCAAAACACGCCTGGTAGCGGGTCTGTGGGTTTCGCTGAGGTTGCACGTGTCTTAGGCGTGTTAGAGAATGCTTCATTTTGGGGCTTTGTAAGTGATTTTCAAAATCTGACTAGTCTTCCTCCCCGCTTTCGCGTTTTGAAAGCATCTTTCACAGCTGGCTGTCGTCCTGGCTGGACTCTCCAGGAGGCTTTTTCTGCTTTCAGTGTAGGCAACTTTGTCCAGGCTGTGTGCAGATAACGCGCTCTCTGTCTCTCTGTTGTGTTCAAACGCTGCGTTCAGTGAGCTCGGGGTCTGCGTGTGCTTAAGATGCCCATGCTAGCAACGTCCTTTAAGTGAGATTGAAGAAATCATTAACTTTTACTCAGGGTATTTTATTTCCAACAATATGGCTGTATTTTTCTGTGATAAAACACGACTGCGTGTTTCATGCAGAAAGCTGAATCTTAATTCCACTTCCCTATCTCGAGATACCAGTAACCTAAATGAATAGGTGGAAACTTGCCCTACCTGCTCTTGGTGAACTTGGCGTCCGCGGCGCTGGCAGGGGCCGATGAATCAATCGGGTTTGTTAATTGGTCTGTTTTTAACAGGTTTTGTAGCGCTTCCCGAGCATGAGTTCAGAATGAAGCGGCGATTGGATGAGCAGGAGTCACCCGTGTACGCGTCGCAGCAGAGACGTATCACCAGCAGCACCGAAGCTTTTCAACACCAGCACCGCGTGCTTGCCCCGGCGCCTCCGGTGTATGAGGCGGTTTCGGAGACCATGCAGTCTGCCACGGGGATTCAGTACTCGGTAACTCCCAGCTACCAGGTGCGTGCGCTCGCCCCTTTGCCGCCTCTCAACCAGCCCCCGCCGCGTCATTTCACGCTACCCTTCTGCGTTTGAGACAAGGTTTCTTCCAGTAACCAGGGCTTCCTAAAGAAAAACCAAGACTGGACGATGCGCTTATCGCACCTCTCGTTCTAAGCGCTCGCTTTAAGACTGCCGGCTTCATTCATGTTCAGAACCACCTGAACAAACGTGGTGTGGCTTGGCTGGTTTTTTGAACACAATTCTTATAATGATTCTCTGAGATTGTGGTCTCTGAATCCTAGAGGCAAGCGTGTGCAGGGCTTTTTCTCCATTTTTCTTCACTGGGAGAAGGTTTCTTCTTGCGGTTGCTCTGCCACAGGTGTATGATATCTTGGGTGAGCCTAAGCTTAACAGACTGGCTGGGAACAGCATTTAGATTGGAGACTTCCAGGAAAATTGAAACGCTTCAGAAGGCGTTACCCCAGGGTCATTAGGTGGCACTCTTCCCTCCCTTGCCTCCTTTGCAAGGAGCTGTTAGCTAGGGAGAGGAAAAAACCAAAAAAATGTATTTTTAAGCGTGCACTGGAGATACTTCCCAGTAAAAGACCAGGGAAAGGCTGTTCCTGTGTTACTTGTTTCTGGCATGTTGCATCTTCCACGGCTGTGTTGCTGGTGAGCTGTCCTCCCTGTTTAGTGCCTAATTTTACACACAGCTTCTCCCTTACTTCTGCAGAAGGGATGTTCATGCTGATAGTAGCAGCCGCAGAGCTGAAGAGCCTGCAGGCAGACACTTGCAGGGACTGGAAGAGGCTGTGTTTATGCTGGCAGTCCTTCCTAAAAAGAACTTGGATGGACCAGCAAGCAAATTGTTTCTTGTTCATGAGAAGGATTAAAAAAAGTATTTCCCATCTAAAAGAGACTTCAATGGAAAACTAAGTTTGTGTAAAACGAAAAGTAATTTACTTTTTGAACGTTTTTTTTTAAAGGCTCTTTTAATGGATTTTCCAAATTGAAACTTTTCTGGTTTTATGTATGAAGGATACCCGAAAAGTGCGTTCTGTTCCTCACCCTGTTTTTCTAGGGGAGATACCAACTTGAGTTTCCCCCTTAGTCTGCTGGTGCCAGAGAGCCACAATTTGACTTCCTGTACTCAAACTGAATGTCAGAAGTGTAGAAGCTCCTAAAGATTCATTCATTCAGATTATTTCTTGTGACATGTAAGTGTCGTAGGGAAAAGAGAGAACCTTGGCTCTGTCAGACTAAAAATCCCATTTTATGCCCCTTTTGCAGGTCTTTATGTTGGTGTTAGTGACCAGACAGCCAGCGGGCCTGCAGGCTGGAGAGACCCTGTGTTTGTAACGTGTTTGCAGAGAGGGCTCTGCTGTATTTGGAGTACAGGATGAGAGTTGTCTTGTTTTGATTTTTAGGTCTCCCCGGGTCATTGTTGAAGAAAACGAAAGAGATGTTTTGAGTAAGGTTGTTAGCAGCCACGGTTATAGGGCAAACGGACTCCGTTCCGCTGCTTTGAAACTTTACTGCCGTACCCGGGTCCAGGAAGACTGCCGGTGCTCTCTGCCGGACCTGACGTCCTCTTTGCCTTGCCAGGTGTCGGCCGTGCCGCAGAGCTCGGGCAGCCACGGGCCAGCCATCGCAGCCGTCCACAGCGGCCACCACCACCCCGCGCCGGTGCAGCCCCACGGGAGCCAGGTGGTGCAGAGCCACACTCACCCCACGCCGCCAGCCGTGCCCGTGCAGGGGCAGCAGCAGTTCCAGAGGCTCAAGGTAACGCTGAGCATCCCTGCCGTAAGTCATCCAGCCTCTGCCTGAACCCCCGGGCAGCCGGGGGCCGCCTTCCGTTCGGTGTGTCCCTGCTGAGCCAGCTGGTGACCTCCTAAAAGCTTTCTTGAGAAGGCTCGGATGCTCCTCCTGTCGGGAAGACGGTTGAATGCAGAAAGGGACTCCCCTTGCCGCTGAAACCCTGTCGTTTCAAATACCGGAATAAAAAATGGACTTGCTAGGAAAAGGTCGGGGGCGGGAAGGAAAAGGAAGAAGGTATTGCTCAGAGTATTCGTATGAATGGGTTAAATTACCAAAACATTTGGTGTTTTTCTGAACACATGGCATATGTGGGTGGTTGTGTGGGAGTAATTTGGGAGTAGGGAAAGCTCTATTCTTGGATTATGTGCTGTAAAATCCTTAAAAAAAGAGAAAACTCTACCAAAAATAACCCCTTTAAGTAGCTACATTTGGTTCAGCTCTAGTGAGAAGGGACATATATATGAATTGATGCCTATTTTTTTAGTCTCTTCCAAATACGGCTCAAGTCTCTTCCAGTTTTGTTGGAACCCACTGCCTTGTTGGGTGAGAGGCCTTTCCCCTTTGCTGAATGTAGGACACTTCATTTCTAGAGACCTCTGAAAATGATTTCAAAACGCGCAGTTCTTTCTCCCAGTGAAACTGATGGCACATCCTCTGCTGATGCAAGGTTGGGGCTATACACGATAGTCTTTCTTCCTTTGTTGTCATTTAATTTCAGACGAAAGAGGTCCTGTGTGTAGCTCTAGTAGCTGATGGGCTTGTGGCCTGCCTGTCGGAGGCAATAGAGACCCAGAGCTCTTGCTTTAGGCTGTGGCTGTTCTTTCAGTACCTCTGAAATTGGGTGTTGGTACACCAACAGTTCATAAACTTCTTGCTGTTTGAGGTGTAAAACAATTTACCGCCCACAGTTGCCATTTTTGAAATCCTTACATGTCGAACTGAAATGTCTGGCTTTTTGAAAAAAGTGCAAGCGTGTACCTGGCAGACATCTACTACACTGAATATGTCATTTCCACTTTCTGCTTATTCTTAGGCTTTCATAATAATTTCCACATATGAATGCAGGAAAAATACTCAAGTCTAGTTCTGTTTATCCTAGCAGTCACTTCAGTGATGGTAAATTTGGAGTATGTTTTTTTTTCTCTGAGTAATTCTGCTGATCTGTGTTGCCTTTTTTTTTTTTTTTTTTGTTTTGTTTCTTTTTTGGTACAGTTTTATCTTGTGAGCCAGGAGTGGAGAGTGAGTATCTCTTATTCAAATGGTGCTGGTAGTACATTAACTGGGCTCATGATCTTTTGCTCTTTAATTTCTTGCCCAGGCTCAGGGCTAACAGCTGTGTTTTCAAATAATGCATGTTTTGCAGAACAATGGAGGTGAAATAAAATCTCCTCTGCTAAAATAACCTGTCTGTTTTGTCTCCAGGTGGAGGATGCTCTGTCTTACCTTGACCAGGTGAAGCTGCAGTTTGGTAGCCAGCCACAGGTCTACAATGACTTCTTGGACATTATGAAGGAATTTAAATCTCAAAGGTAACTAGCTGCATTTTGCTTCTTCCTTCCGGGTTAGAAAGAGCGTATGCAGCCGTGGGAGCACAGAGCAGGAGCTAAATTCTGTCCTTCCATGTGCAGCGTACCACCCCTCTAGCAGTAGTGTAAAAGCAGTTGTGTTCTTTCCTTTCTGAAAATTAAATGCATCCCTTCATTCCTACTAAATCTCTGCTTAGAGTGGGAGTTCACAAGTTCAGCCTTGATAGCTGATTCATCTGGCTGTCTGGTTGTCTGCCCATTAATAATGGTCAGACCTGGGACTGGATCTCATAGATATAAAATTCTGTCTGGGCTAATAATACAATTTTAATGTTGATCTTCTGTTCAGTAATGCATTTATAGGAATCCGTTTTGCTTCGTTGCATATGATAGAGATGATAAGGTAAAAATTCTAATGGGAAATTCTTCTGTGGAGGACTTGGTGTACCACTGAAAAGGTCTTAGAGGATCGTGACATTTTGATCTTACTCCTTCTTCAGTATTGACACTCCAGGAGTGATCAGCCGCGTATCGCAGCTCTTCAAGGGCCACCCAGACTTGATCATGGGTTTCAACACCTTCTTGCCGCCTGGTTACAAGATCGAGGTGCAGACGAATGATATGGTGAACGTGACGACACCGGGGCAGGTTCACCAGATCCCCACTCACGGCCTGCAGCCCCAGCCGCAGCCCCAGCCGCAGCATCAGTCGCAGCCGTCAGCGCAATCAACCCCAACACCAGCACAGCCGGCGCCGCAGCCACCACCTGCCAAAATCAGTAAGGTGAGAGACTTTGAAGGACACACGCTGGTAACACAGGGGTCCTGCTGCCCCCAGCTGAAACTGGTACGGAGCTACAGAGCGGAAAAGGAGCTTCCACGCTGCTTTTTCGTAGTATTTGTGAGCCTGTGTGTGGTGTGCTTCTGCTGCTGGATTCGTTTCTCCTTTTCAGACTTCAAGATGCATTCTAGTTGATTTGACACTAGTTCAGATAAGCCCACCGTAAGGGTTTGGAAAAGCCTTGTTGCTTTCAGTGGGGAACTGAAAGATGCTCCGAGCATCTGGTGAAATGTACACGTGTTATTCAGGGGAGCGATCCAGCAGCCCCAGGAAAAAGCTCCCTGAAATTCTTTTGACTTTGCAAGAAGGGCTGCCTACTTAAAGCACTGGGCACGTATTGAACTGCCTGCTTTTGTGTATATTGTCTCAGAGTTACTGAAGTCCCAAGAAATTCCCCATAAACCAGAGGCAGAGATAAAGGTGTTGCTATTGGTGAGAAAGTGTGTGTGTGTGTGTGTGTGTGTGTGGTTTCAAATGCTTGGGGCAATTAAGCCTTTAGAAGAGCTTGATTAGTTATTTGGTAGATTCTGCGTTGCTTGAAGTCATTTCAGATTGGACATTTTTTGTAAAGGAGTCTAATTCAGCCATTAGCTGGATGAGTGCAGGAGTTACTGGCAAAATCTAAAGTGCAGGAGTTCAGGCAAGATGACCACAATGTTGCCTTTAGGTATGTGTGCCTGAAACTGAGACCTTTCAATAACAAAGGGAATTTGACTCTGTTTTAGATGTCATCCAGATGCTACTGTCCAACGGATGTATTTTATGTGATTGGAAACAGAATAGGATAATAGGCATTCAAGGAGCTTACTCTAGACAAAAATATCATGTATTTTAGCCTCAAAATGTGGAAAGATTTGAGAGCCTTAGGGAGGGAAAGAATCCCCAAAGTTTCAAGGGTTAATCTCTAAACTGTACAGTTAGCCAACAATTGGCTGGAAAAGGAAACAAACAAACAAAAAAGGAATATGCAGTTAGAAAGCAGCAGGATTTAAAATGTGGCAATTAGATGATCTCTAGACAAACATTGGTGGGACTTGCAATCTCCTGTTCGGAAATGGCAAACAAAAACGTGCAAAAAGATTTGCAAAGCTGAAAACTGCAAAGCTAAGGCATTCCAGAATTAACTTACCTGCACCAGATTCCAAGGCTTTTTTCCAAAGAAGTAGTAGACGCTCTCAGTAAATAAGTCTCTTTCTCATCACCGTGGACTAAGTGGTTTTCTCCCCATCGACCTGCAAAAAGTTGAACTGGTTTTGCTGAAACTTTAAAATGAACCTGAAGGACATGGTAGATATTGAGCTGAGCTTGCTTTACCAGACAGGTGAAATTGTAGGTAAGGAAGGCAGGACTGTGTAGTAGGATACTCCTTGCCATCCTAAGGCAGTTATCTGCACTGTCAGTCGTCAAAACTCTGTGTAATACAAGTTTTGAAGTTTGGAAGGTGAGAAGAATGAGTACTTCTATTTTCATTTAAAATTGCCACCTCTAAACTGCTGTGAAATTTTCCCGTGGATGTTAGGTGTCTATTCAAAATAATTACTGGGAGGGCCTTATCTGCCTGCTCTTCGTCTCAATATTGAAAGAAATTCCAGTTTTCCCTTGCTGTTGTCTTTATGCGTCCCTGAATTCTTCACTGGGGGCAAAATAACTTGCAGTTTTGGAGCAAGCCATGCCTATGCATTTTGGCTCTGTTCAGTTTTTGAGATAGTATGTGTCTCTAGTCAGATTTCAGTCAAAAGCAATTAGCAAGGAAAATCAACTGTTAATAAACAACAGTTTGAATGGTCCGGGTGTTTTGTCTTCCTGATGAAGTGTAGTCTCTACTGGCCCACTAAATATTTATCTGTTTTTTCGCTTTGGATAATGGTTTTCTTCTGCTTAGTCTACCTGTATTTGTGCTTCTGTTAATCATTAAAACCCAACTGACTATGAAATAGTACTTCTTAATTTTGACTGTTAACAGCCGTTTCTGCTTAGACAGCCACTAGATGTTGTTCAGTGTATGAAAGGCACTGTCAAAATTCTTTAGACCTGCAAAGGCAATAATTGTTTAGTAGCTGTTTTTTAAACAGCTTTTTTAAAGGTCTTTTTAAGACCTTTCTTTTAAGGAAATGCAGCAAAAGTCATCCAGGGCCAGTATGGGAAGAGGTGGTTTGACTGGATGTGGTAGCAGGAGATTCTGTCCGCGTAATGTACTCCAGTTCAGAGGTATCTCTGTTGAATCCATATGGTTCCACCGTTGGCATCTGATACAGTTATATGATGGGTTGTTTCCTCTGGATATGGTCTGTAAGTGGAATAAACCTGCCTTTATTCCAAACATAAAGGAATCTGCTAGTTTCTAACACGGCTTCTTTTCTTCTTAGCCATCACAGTTGCAGGCACATACTCCCGCCAGCCAGCAAACTCCCCCGATTCCACCATACGCATCACCGCGCTCCCCACCAGTCCAACCTCATACGCCTGTGACAATCTCCCTGGGAACCACACCATCCCTGCAGAACAATCAGCCTGTGGAGTTTAATCATGCCATCAACTATGTCAACAAGATCAAGAATCGGTTCCAGGGACAACCAGACATCTACAAAGCCTTCCTGGAGATCCTCCATACGTATCAGGTGAGCGTTAACAATGCAGGTTGGAGTATACGTATGGTTATTTCTCTCTCTGCTGTGGGGAGCTAACTGTGTCTGCCCAGGACTTGTGTTTGGGTTTTCTGCTGGATTAGCAGAATTCTTGCAAATTAGAAGATTATGTAGTAGCGTTGAAGTAATAAATTTCCGTCTACCATCTTTGTTTGCAAATGTCTGAAGTGCCTTTTTAACAGTGGTATTTGGCATTTTTTCATAAGCGTGGGGCAGGAGGAGACAACATGGCCGTAGTACTGTGTTAAAAGTAAAGAAACCACTTCCTTCATCAATGTCCTACTAATCCAGGGCCAGTTGAGCATTTAGTATGTTTTTAGTTTATGTAAGTATACGTATTTAGTACATACAAGAATCTTTCAATAAGGTGCCGAGACCTTTGCTGTTTCATTCTTGATATCACTGAGGGTTTTGGTTTTTTTTTTCTTTGTCACTTAAATAGCTTGCGTGTCCTTTCTTCTGACCCTTCTCTTTCCTGTGACAGAAAGAGCAGCGTAACGCCAAGGAGGCGGGAGGTAACTACACGCCGGCTTTGACGGAGCAGGAGGTGTACGCGCAGGTGGCTCGCCTCTTCAAGAACCAGGAGGATCTGCTCTCGGAGTTTGGGCAGTTCCTGCCTGATGCCAACAGCTCTGTGGTGAGTCGTCTTGGAGGTGGACTGGAACTGAAATACCTAGTGGAAAACTGTTCTGTATGTAGCCAGAATTCAGAAAAAAGTGCTTTTGCTGTTTGTTTCTTGGGTGGTTTTTTTTTTTTTTTTGGAGTGATCTTTTACTGAATGGGGGAATGGGGTCAGGGTGATAGACTGTTTTCTGGCCATAACTTGTCATTTATATAGAATGCCTTTGCCTAAAAGGGTTGTTCTAAGACTGCGATAACTACAGGAAAATACATTGGGCATCTAGAGCTAGGAGGAGCAGGCATATTTTTTTGCCTGGATGTGTGGAACTCGGCTCTAATGGTCTTACGGGTTTGTCTCTAAATAAGCTGTTAAGTAAGACAACTGCAGAGAAAGTGGAATCGGTAAGAAATGATCACGGTGGCACGGTGAAGAAGCCACAGCTCAACAACAAACAGCAAAGACCCAACCAGAATGGCTGTCAGATCCGACGGCACTCGGGAACTGGAGCAACCCCTCCGGTGAAGGTAAGAGAGCCAGCCCTGTGTTTCCCAGGAGGCTGTGGCAGAGCAGGATCCGTTTTTTGCAGCACAGGTTGCAGCTTGAGAGCTCAGAAACTAATGCTTGCCTTTAAAGGAAGCTTTTTTGAGTCCTTGTTTCTGAGCTTCGTCTCTGATTTTTCACAAACTGGTGGTGTTATCTGTACCTGAGGGCCGTGATAGTCACTTTACTGTCTTGGGAAGAAGAGGGCTTTCCCCACTTTATTAGGATGCTGCAGAATGCGTGGGGGTAGTTTTATTGGTCAATAAAGCAGTGTGTGGTGATGAGGAGGAGATAGGGGGTGTGGAGGCAAAAGTCTCAGTAAAGCAGCAAAATATATTTGTCTGAAATTTGTAGTGATGTTTCTAAGGCACGTGGGAAGATAAGCTGAGAGAAGGATAAAGGTGTGCCTGAAAGCTTCGTTGTAGTAGAGCTTGGAGCCAGATGCGTTGGAATCCACGTTTGCTACCTCTTTCCTATGACAAACCTTATAATACAATGATGAATGATTATTCTCTTAGCAGAGTTTGCCCTTTTCAAATGACGCATGTTTTGAGAGAGCAAGGCTTCTTAGTGTAGTAAAAATTGTCCTGTGGCCAGGTGGCTTAGTGTTTGTGCATTAAGGATAAGTTTGCCTGCTTTATTTGAAGGTGGTGTATCTTGCTTTGTGATGAAAAGCATTAGCAGAAATAATTGTAATCATTCAGTGATTTACTTCCTCCTCTGCCCTTTCTTCTCCTCTTCAAATAAAGGGCAGCAAAATAAAACGTGTTTTGGAGGCAGCTTTTGGCCTTTCTGAGGATGTAGAGTGCAGTGCTGGTATGGGGAAAATAAAGGATCTTGCAGTGGAAAGCCAAAGAGAAAGAAATATGATTATTTTAAGCAGGTGTAGGACTTAAAGAACTGGGTGAGCGATAGGAATAAAAAAAAAAAATTGTTTTGGTAATTTTGCAAACTAGTTAGAAAAATGAGATACACTGTAGTGTGACTGTTTCAATCAACAAGTTACAGAAAAGGATGCAACAATGTATTAAAAATATTTGGAGTTCTATGCTACTGATTAACCTTTAATAGATTAACTTGTGACACACACTTCTGTGCAAGTGTCCTTCCAAAAAAGCCACCTTTCTTTTATTTGAAAGCAAATGGTGGGGTCAGGAAGCTGAAGCCGTTGTGTGATAGATAATCAAAATATGGCAACTTGCTCTACTGAACAGCCCTTTTTTTACTTGCCTTTCTTTTTTTTTTGTTAACAGAAGAAACCAAAGCTGCTTGGTTTAAAAGACCAGTCTTTGGCAGAAGCCAGCAAACATGGTGTGGGGACAGAATCTCTCTTCTTTGAGAAGGTGAGAAGCGAGATTCAGAGAAAGTCATCTCATGTCATTGATTTGTGCTCTTGGCGTGTGTACATCCGCATTTATATCACAGTGAAGTATGTGAGATATATATATATTTACACACAACACCCTGATAACATTTGTTAGCTTGACCTCAGATGTATCGTGCGACCTCTAAGTCAGATCCATTGAATATTTAAAAATCTTTCTTACGTGGATATTTGTCTTTTCCCCAGAAGTCATGCTCCAGCTTTTCACCCGCTGCTGATGCAGTTTATTGGCAGGAATGGGAATTTTTTCCTGTAACGCAATTTTTTTTCACCTTTGAAATCCCTGTACAACCGATGATGTGCGTGGCATGTCTTGCTGTGTTGGCACAGCTTGCTGTACCCATCCACAACCAGCTGCCTGCAGTGTGGGAGCTCAGTTTACAAAGCAGCTGATTCACGTCGACGTTTGGGTTTGTTTTTTGTTTTGTTTTTTTTTTTTTTTCTTCTTTCTCCCTGAGAGATGAATCTAATTAATTGCACAGTTGTTACCTGTTGCTGGTTTACCACACAGAACAAATGAAGGATATGTGAGATGTTTCCAAGTGGTACCTTGGTGTCTTCCCTAAGATGTCCATACATTTCCTTATGGCTCAGAGGGGAGTATATAGTGAGTGTAAACAAGCCTTTTAAGTAATATTCATGTGTTGATGAAAGTCTTGGTTGCTCCCTGATGATGTGGTGCATTTTGCAGCATGCTGTAGACCAGCTAATGGTAACTGGGAACCAGTCTATTGCTCGGAGGATGTGTAGGTGTTAACATGAATAAACTTAGAAATCCCTGCTGTAGAATGATAACTGTAATGACGATTATCTTAATGATGATAGATCTCTGTCTGATGCGTAGATGCTAACTGTTCTCGTGGGAAAGGTAATGGCGTTGGCATGGTTCGTCCGGTTTCCTCGTGCTGTGAAGATAAGGGTTACAGAAGCTGGCTTGTCTGCGATAAGCCGAGCTGTAACACAGGCAGAGGCTGGAGTGGTATTACCCAGGGCACAGGTCTCTTACCCCTGCTCCCTACTTGCAACGTTCTCTGGTGTTTAAAGGCAGCCTGGGTGGGTTTGTGGTGCTGCAGTTACGACTGACGTTGTCCACAATTCCAGCAATTTGTAATCCAGCTGTTAGGGGGTTCTTTGAGGGATTTCATTCTTCACTTGCAACTCCTTTCGTCAGAGTAATGCACCGGGTGCTGAAGTTGCAGGGCATACCCAGCACGGAGATGCCTCACATTGCTCTCTGTTTGGCCCTGTGTACCGGGCAAGTTACCCTCTGTTTAACTCACTTAAAGATTTGCATTCCCATTCCACGTGTAATCTCTGTGCATCGGTGGGAAGCAGAGTGTTGAATCGAGGTCTCCTGGACAGCGATAGCACGCGCAGCTTGATCTCACCCTGACAGCAACTCTTTTCTTTTCTCTGTAAGGTCCGCAAAGCTCTGCGTAGCACAGAGGCGTATGAAAACTTCCTTCGCTGCCTGGTTATTTTCAACCAGGAGGTGATCTCCCGAGCCGAGCTCGTGCAGCTAGTTTCTCCATTCCTGGGGTAAGTGGAGCCGGTTTCCTTACACGAGGTGAGAAGTTTAATCTGCTTGTTCTGTTTCTGCTGTGAAGCCAGGAAAGAAACTCTAACCTTTGTGGTCGTTTGGGGGGATGCATCCCGTGTGGTTGCGTGGCACGGAGGAGGAGGAACGCCGCTCTGGGAGCAGGGTGGTGGTTTCTTGGGCCACAAAGTCCATCTGAGATGGGAGTCCCCCCGCACTGCCCACTTCCTCCGCTGTTGGTTGGCTCAGCTTTTATCTGGACAGCCTGCCACTGCTTAATTGTCTGTCCACTAAATGACTGCACGAGTTGCTTCTGTGGCCGTGCGTTCTCTGATCTCCTATTCCCTCCAGCTTGGCCTGGGTGTCGGGGATGTACGTGGTAAGGTGCCATGTGCTGCTCTATGGGCAGGAAGATACTGATAGTCCTTGTAAGCCCTTTAGTGGCTAGTACCGTGCAAGTGCCACGTGCTTTAGGCTTTCAGACTTTCCCTTTATTTGAGCAGGGCAATAAGGGCCCTGCTTCATTTTTCTTTCCAACTTCACGCTCTTCTGCACTGCCCTTTTCTATTCACCATCCAAGAGGAGGTGAGAGGGATTCCTAGCTATGTATTGGCAGGCAGGCAGCATTCAAGAGCAGTGCTGCTTGCTGTGTTTCTTCCTTTTTCAGAAGAGCAAACAGAATTATTTAGCCTGTTATTGCAGTCTCTTGCTCTGGAATCGCAGATTATTTCATTTGAGAAAAGATTGACTGTCTAATTACATAGGAAATGCCCCCTAAAAAAAAAGCGCTGATAAAAACTCACTAAAATTTCTAAAAGGCAAAAAACCAGCTGAATTCTGTCATGAAGCCAAAAATGATAAGGAATACTACAGTTTAAATATGAATTATGACTTCTGTAATTGGCAGTAGTGTACAGAACAACTCTGTATTAATGAGCTAAAATCAACCAATATCTTCTCATCAACTTTGGGCAGCAAGATTAATGTTTCTTCTTCCCCTGAATTGAGTTCCTGGTTCCAAGGGAGAAGGCAATAGCAACGTAAATTGGGTTCAGGACCCCATTACACTAGCTGCTGTGCACAGAAACTGCCCCAAGGAGCTGCCACTCTCTCCGTAGCTCCACTGGAATTAGGCAGGCATCAGCAGGATGCTACTTTTAGCTAGGAAAGGTGAAATATTCGACAAAAAATTCTGGATTTCTCCCATCTACTGTCTGTGCTCCTAGCTGTAAGGGTGAATATCTGTATTGGGAAAGGTAAAATACAGTTTTACTCTGGAGTTGGACATTATCTTCTCTCATGTAATGAAAAAGCAATAAATGAGCAGTGATTCAATTAGCCTCAGTAACAGGTTCAATTCCTCATATTGTTGGAGCTTTTCAGGAGATAAGAGGAGTTGAAGAGATGCAGTACTTTAGTCTAATAAATTCTTCAGAAAACTTTTCTCTACACAAGCAGGCGAACTTGGGCCTCGCAGGCAAAGGCTTCTTCACGATTTGTGCCAGTCTGGGGAGTCAGCACTGGTTGAAGCGATTGCTCAGCACCGAAACCTTTTGCTGTGTAGTTAGAGAATTGCTTTTCAGTTTCGTCTTGCTGCTTTTGGAAGGGAAAGGCCTCTTTTAAGGTTAAGACCATTAGCAAACAACTAGGAATCTGGCTTGGGTTCGCTACCGGGATAGTTTGGGAGACCCAGATGTGACCCTGCAATGAGTGCTGCCTCTGCAGTGAAAGCTTTGGCTGCTCTTCCTTGCTTGTCCCTTGTCTCCCAGGGACTGTACCCACGAGGCTTGTGGAGGATATATGGGTGGTTGCCTGAGTATCCCTGTCAGTATGAGGAGGTAATCCTAAAGCACCCTAGTTGCCCCAAGAGGGCAATCCACCGCCTCATCAGCAAAGAAACAAACAGTTTTGGTCAGGCTCTGTGGAAGTGGGATTGAGCAGAGAGGGTCCTCTCACCAGACTGGTAAATGAGAGGGTCGTCTTGGACGAAACCTGTCTGTGTAGCAATCAATTCTAGCCTCAGCATCACAGCTCAGCGCTGTTTGATTTCTACGTGGCCAGTTTTTCACTTCATTAATTTTATTTTTTAGGAAATTCCCAGAATTGTTCACTTGGTTTAAAAACTTTCTGGGATATAAAGAGTCTGTTCACATGGAGACGTATCCGAAGGAACGGGCTACCGAGGGGATTGCCATGGAGATTGACTATGCCTCCTGTAAAAGACTGGGCTCCAGCTACCGAGCCTTACCCAAGAGCTACCAGCAACCCAAGTGCACGGGGCGGACTCCGCTGTGTAAAGAGGTAAGAGGCTCTCGGGTGGGAATTGCATGATAGAGGGAAGCTATTCCCAGCCTTCTCAGAGGGATGGAGCAGAGACGAGCAGAACAGAACGGGATGGGGAATTTATTTTGCCTCCCTGCACTATGCTGAAAAGGCTCCCAGGGATGTTAGGGCACGTCTGCTCTCGTGCAGCAGAGTTGTGCTGCTGCCTGCACCCCAGAGCTGGCGCTGGGCATGGAGCTGGGGCCGGGCAGCTGCCTGGTTTGCACTGATGCAGCACTGAGCCGCGCTGCTCCCGCACCCAGGCGTGTGCGGGCAAACCATCCTGGCTGGGAATCACCAGGGTATGTGTCAGAGCCCGGGCTGAGCACACCCCGAGGTGTTCCTTGTGGCGGGTGAGCACTTGGCACTCCTGCAAACGTCTGGATCGTGTCCAGAGGCTGTTGCGCAGGGTGAGGCGTGAGTCTAGGAATGGGTTAGGCTGGAAGCTGGCTGGGAGTTACGATAGCCACGTGGCTTTGGTGGTCGGCGTCAGCTCTTCTGTGGTGCTTGTGAAAGGGCTACAGGAAGCATTGGGGAGCAGCTGGAAAAAAAACAAAAAAAAAACCAAAAAAAACCCTGAATAGTTGTGATGTTTAACTTAAATAAAATGTAGGAGCATTAGATATATATGATGTTATACATAGTATAAGCTGTGAAAAGAACATTAAGATTACAGACTTAAACGTTCTAAGTAGGAAATGACACAACTAGTTTTTTGTATGGTCTTAATGTGATCTTGGAGATCTTTTACAAAGTATTAGGTAATTCAAGATTATTGCGACTTTTTAAACCAAATTTCCACTTAGTCTGCTTTCAGAGTTGTCTCTAGTCCAGCTTCAAAAGAATATCACATTTACTATAGACAGATTCTCCTACGTATCCCTCACACGCTTCTCTCTTTCTACCTGAAATGCTAAGATGACCTCTTGTCTTGAGAAATGGTGCACTGCTTCAGGAAATTGGCTCCCTACAGGGAACCAGCCTTCTTGGTTAAGAGTCAAAGCTGGTCTCTCAGCAAAGTCCTGCAGGATCAGATGTACTCATTGCGTCCTTTAATATGTTGTAATGACCTTTGGATCAAAGTGGGAATGGTACTGGCTGATCCTGTTCCCTCACTGGTGTTAAAGGTAATGTTTTGGAGGTGAGTGAGCAAGACTCTTGCTGAAGGCCAGTTAATAAACATGCTGCTTAAGAGCATTCACTGGAGGAGGGGAGAGCCCCAGAAGTCCCTTCCCTGGGTGACTGCAGTCAGCAGTGGCACCTTCAACAGACAGGGAGGAGATTGCTGCTTGGGAGCATCATGGGCTTTTGTGTACTTACGCTCCTTGAGAGATGAGGAGGACAAACGTGGGTGACAGAGTCATGCAGTCAGCAGTGGTGAGAAGTGTTCAGCCGAAGTGGTGGCAAGATAGTGAAAATAACCTGGGCAAAAGACAGTTGCAACTTTTTAATCTACGTCCTGATGTGTCTCTCAAGTGTCTCGTGATACAGTTACAAACTTTTCTTCCTGTGAGAATCTAATGACTCAGTTGTTCAGGCTTTGGGTTTATGAAAATTGGGCCTGACTTTCCAGACTGCCTGCCAAAATCCTTGTTTCTTTGCCTTTGGCTTCTTCGGGGCTTTTTTGCATGTTCTGTTCCTGTTTTGGAGGTGGTGAAAGCTGCAGGTGCTCAGCTGCTTTGTCAGGAAAGGTGTTGCTGGGGTAGGGATTTATATTCCCAATTAGCCTTATTTGGAGGTGGAAACCACGTACTGTCTAACAGTCATGTTTGCTGTGATGACCACCTGGTGTTGTCGATGGTGAATCACACGCCTGATGAACCAGCTGGTTGCAGTTGACTAATCCAAAGTAACGGAAAAGCTCCTTTCCCCTTTCTTTTTTTCTTCCCTTGCAAGTTTTTTCTCACAGGTCCAGCTAATGAATTTTTCAGACTGCCTGGACGTTTGGATTCTGGCTGTTTGGGGTTGCCCCCTGAATGCTGGGCTTTGGAAGGGGCACACAGTTTTTCCAGCTGGGAAATTACATTCTTCCATCAGAAGACTGGGCTCAGAGCCGGATGAGTGTGACTCCCTCAAAGACTGACTGTGACTCTTGTCTCCCCCCGGGTCTCTCTCAAAGGTATTGAATGACACCTGGGTCTCCTTCCCGTCCTGGTCCGAAGATTCCACATTCGTGAGCTCCAAGAAGACGCAATATGAAGAGCACATCTACAGGTGTGAGGATGAGCGTTTTGAGGTAAATTGTTTTCCCTTGATTCATGTCTCAGAAAGCTTGGGGTTCTGTGAACAGTTAACGATCTTGATATACCTTTAATACTACTGCTAAGAATCTGGTTTTACTGTGTGCCTGTCACCTGTTTTTTGCATAAAAGCTTGTGTTCCCTTAATGCAAGAAGTGGTGGCTCCGAGCTCCCCCCCTGCCCTTCACTTTTTGTGCAGAGCTCTTCGTTCACACTGCTCCAGATGAAACTGTTCAATGGCCAGCATATAATCAATGCATCTTTTCTGTTCTTACTGCCCACGTAGCGCACGAGAACATGCATTCCCCTGTAATAATCTGAAAAGCGATATGTTCAGGATGTTAAATGATTGACATCTTGACTTGAAATGGAAGTTAGCTTGGCAATTACCTGAATACGCTCAGATTCAGCATGTCCTTTTGTAGAGTAACTGTCAATTGTGTTCTATTCCCAGGTGGAAAATGTAATTTCTGAATGGTATCGTTCTTGTAAGTTTTAAATTCTTACGCGGTATAATCCAGGTAGCAGATAAAATATAATTGGATTATTTTAGAGCAGCCGAACATGGAAACCACTGCTCGAGTACACCTTGTTAAACATGCACGGCTTCTTGTTTCATGTCACTTAAATGTTAGCCTCTGTTAAGTATCATGTTTTGTCTGTTCAACGACGGCTAATGCACTGTTCGCTTCAGCTGGATGTTGTCTTGGAGACCAACCTGGCAACGATCCGCGTCCTTGAGGCAATCCAAAAGAAACTCTCGCGCTTGTCTGCCGAGGAGCAGGCCAAATTCCGGCTGGACAACACTCTGGGTGGCACTTCAGAGGTGATCCACCGCAAGGCTCTCCAGAGGATATATGCTGACAAAGCAGCCGACATCATTGATGGACTTCGGAAGAACCCATCTGTGGCTGTTCCCATTGTACTGAAAAGGTACTGACTGCTCTAGCACCCTGCCCCGGGGGCTCTACCGAAGGGTAATGCACCATACGTGATACAAATTTACGTAAAAGTAGCTAATTTCTGCCTCTGAGGGGTGTGACCTCCACAAGGCTCTAAATTAAGAAGTGCATTTTATGTTCTGGTCAGTTGCTGTATCTCATAGTAATCGCCTAGAAAGAGGGAATTACCCTTCTGAAGCAAAAACCTTACAGCTCAGATGGAGGGATGTAGAGCTTTTGTTGTCTCCTCTTAAACCTTGTTTCTTCCCTGGTGTCAGCATCGTGTGTAACGTGAGGAAACTGGCTGTACTGTGTGGATTGTTCCAGGGCTAAATTTGATCGCTTGCCAAATCCCGCGGCTGTACGTGACTGTGGGCTCAGATTGCGGTGGCTGTGCTACCCTCAGATTCCCAGTCCGGTTTCCATTGTCAACCTCCCCTTCCTCGGTCAAAAAAAAGGGAGTGGATGTTGCAACTCCTTGGGGAAGCTCGAAGAGTTGCGTAAGCAGGAGATACTCTTCCCTGGCCACTTTCTCATTTCTGTGGGACTGCTGGTCCTGCCTCTCAGGGCTCCGAGAGCTGGGGCTGACAACCTCGCCCAGGATACCTGCAAGGTCTCCGTTTCCCCACCCTGCTGCAAGAACACTCTTCCTGTGAACAGGGTCTTGAGCTGCATCAGGGGTGTTTCGCTTGAGGTACTGAGTCGAGGTTCAGGAGGCCGTTCCCAGGAAGCTCAGGTGTCCATGCTGCAAGGTGATAACTTTGTTAATCATCCAAACTAAGCTGTCTCTTTTCAGCAGCTGGAGGTGCACGACTTTCCTGGGGATTTCTGAGAGACCTGGGCCAGCTCTTGCGGCTCTCCCATCCCTTCAGCCCCTCTCTCTGCTGCGGACAGCGGGGCGAGAGGGACACTAAGCCCTCTAGTTACTCTGGCATGCTGCGGCGAGAAGCACAAGCCTTCAAGCTGCTATGTTCTTGAGTGGCGTTACTTAGACATGGAAGAAACCCAGAAGGGTTTCTTCAGAAGAGCATGTGCAAAGTGCTCCTCCTGTAAAGCTCCGTTCTGTGGGATGGCTTTCATTTGTGCCGTTTCATCAGGAGTTCAGCTCTTCTCAACACTGGCCAGGAACCATGGGCCTAGGTTTTCCTGATACGTTCAGAGAAGACCTCTTAGCTCACCCTTGTTTTCTTGATCCAAGGTTAAAGATGAAAGAGGAGGAGTGGCGAGAAGCCCAGAGAGGATTTAATAAAGTCTGGCGAGAGCAGAATGAGAAGTATTACCTGAAATCCTTGGACCACCAGGGCATCAACTTCAAGCAGAACGATACCAAGGTCCTGAGGTCAAAGAGTCTCCTCAATGAGATTGAAAGCATCTATGATGAGGTAAGATGGTCACCAATAGTTTCCTTCCCTCAAGCTTATGTACTTTGCAAGTGCAGTTTCAGTTCCCATTCCTCACCGCTTGATGAGAGAAGAAGCCTGCACCACAGTCAGAGCTTTTTGAAAGGTCTTGGGTGGAGAGAGGTTTTGGGGACTAATTTTTGTGCTGTGTTGCTCATTTGTAGAGGCAAGAGCAGGCTTCAGAAGACAATGCTGGAGTCCCCACAGGCCCACACCTATCGCTAGCCTATGAAGACAAGCAGATCCTGGAAGACGCTGCCTCTCTCATCATCCACCATGTGAAGCGGCAGACGGGGATCCAGAAAGAGGACAAGTACAAAATCAAGCAGATCATGTATCACTTCATTCCAGACCTGCTGTTTGCTCAGCGAGGTGAACTCTCGGATGTGGAAGAGGAGGAGGAAGAGGAAATGGATGTGGACGAAGCTACTGGGGCTGCAAAAAAGCACAATGGTGTTGGGGGCAGTCCTCCCAAAACCAAGCTGATGTTCAACAACACGACAGCCCAGAAGCTGCGGGGCATGGATGAGGTCTACAATCTCTTCTACGTGAACAGCAACTGGTACATATTCATGCGGCTGCATCAGATCCTGTGCTTGCGGCTGCTGAGGATCTGCACCCAGGCCGAGCGGCAGATCGAAGAGGAGACGCGGGAAAGGGAGTGGGAGAGGGAAGTGCTGGGCATAAAGCGAGACAAGAGCGACAGTCCTGCCATCCAGCTGCGACTGAAGGAGCCTAGTGAGTGACTTCTGGTGGGAGGCTGGGGAGGAAAGATGCTCCTATTCTTAGCATGTCAACAGAGCTTGTTTGGTGTCTGCAGGCGTGCTAGAGCAGTGACCCTTTAACAAGGGGGGAATCTCCTTTATCGCTGGGCAGCACTGAATTGAGGGAGGAGATGGGAAGGTGTGGGGTACGTGGGACTCAAATAGCAGAACGGTAATATGCAGCAGTTATTTCTTAAGAGCTTTCATTTTACACTTGCGTATCTGAAGTATCTTTGAGTTCCCTAACTGAAAGCTTTCCAAAAGATCCCTGAGAAATAAAAATCTCACGGAGGAGGCTAGAGCTAGAAAACAAGAGATTATGAAAGTACCCGTGGCCTTAAAAGGACTCGTTTAAATGTCTATAAAAGACAAATTTAAGCCTATTCCAGCAACTCTTCAGCCTGAATGGGTAGTTGGAGGACCAACACTCCGAGCAGCCCTTCCCGGGGTGGCGTGTTCATCTCTCCCATTCTCTCTTGCTGCAGTGGACATCGATGTTGAGGATTATTACCCGGCCTTCCTGGACATGGTGCGCAATCTCCTGGATGGGAACATGGACTCGTCGCAGTACGAGGACTCCTTGCGTGAAATGTTCACCATTCACGCCTACATCGCCTTTACCATGGACAAGCTGATCCAGAGCATTGTTCGACAGGTGACTGCCAGCAAAGGCTGGGGGGCGGGTAGTCTGGGGTGGGGAAAGTAGCCGGCTGGTTTGCTGCAGTAAGAGCCCAGGCCCACGGTGGAGGGGGAGTGTGTATGCCTAAATGGGTAGTTTCAGGGATAACCAGGTAAATTCTGGGTGTTTTTTTAAGCCAGCTCAAACACTTACGTAAAGAGACATGATAAAAAATAACTTCTGATGTATTTAAATTTTTGAGAATATCTTCTCTGTGCATACAGAGTTCTCCCTTTGTTTTACAGAAGTTTTAGGGTATAAGTATTCAACTTCAAAGCATCTCCAGAGCTAATCTTGCTTTAACTTTGAAAAAGAATTAAATGACATTTAAATAATCTCTTTCCTTTTCACCAGTGCTGTAGGAGCAGGGCATGCCTTTTCTAAAAAGCTTTGTCTCCTTTATCTGGCTGTTTGAGTAGCTCATTTTGGCTGTTAAACTCTAGTCCTTTTATTGGGCTGGTAGGAAGAATGTGTGACCAAGGGAAAAATTCCTCATGTGCCTTTTTCAAAAACAGACACAAGGGGCTGGAAGTGAAATGGCTTGAAAGGCTTTTCCTCTTTCAGACGGGTAGAGCTGCTTTTCAGAAGCCCTTTACTTCAGTCCAGAGATTAACTGAATTCAAAAGACAGCTGAGCGACTTTTGATTTTTAAACTTGTACAAAATAAGGATTTTGATACTAAATCTCCCACCCCTCTCCTCAGACACAACAGCAGCCCCTTGCTAAGGAGGAGATATACTATGTCACGGTGCTCTACCCCTTCCTCCCCTGCTGCTGACCAGGATGTTCCCTGCCCATAGTTTTTCTCTGAGTAGCTGCACTTTGCCACCTGCTAATTTTTTTTTTAAAGATACTATGGGTTTGTTTTTTTTTTTTTTACATAGCAGCAGAGATCACGTGCAACTGGTAGAAGTTACTGAAAACACAGCCTTAAAGTCATGCTTTTTCAGCCCTCCTTTTTTTTTTTTTTGGCTTGGGCTTAAACCCACGGTTACATTTTTGTTTCTTTCTGGGCTGATGGGCCTGCAGCAGGCTCCCTGACAAACACCTACCCTGTGTTCTTCCTTTTTGCAGCTCCAGCACATAGTGAGCGATGAGATCTGCGTGCAGGTGACAGACCTCTACCTGTCAGAGAACAACAACGGAGCAACAGGAGGTCTTCTCGCTTCCCAGTCTTCTCGTGCTCTTCTGGAGGCCACGTACCAGCGCAAAGCCGAGCAGCTCATGTCGGAGGAGAACTGCTTCAAGGTAAGGCCAGGCTGAGAACCGCGGCGTAAAAGCAGCAAGCAGTGAGGGAGATGCCTTTTAAGAAGGGAGAGGCACCAGTCCTTTAAAAAAGGGAGCCTTGTTTAGGCACCCGGGAGCGCTGAGGATTTTCTGTAGCTCTTAAAGTTGAAAGGGAGGTATGTCCCCAGCTTTTGGCACACAGGTGAATGCTTCTGTAAGAGCCCTTCAGAAATGAGGTTTCAAGGAGAAATGTATTTCCTGGAACAGCAATGAATATTCCTTGTGCTTCACAACACCTTTGGGTTGTATCACACCGACTGCTTTGCTGTGACCAGTTTTAATACGTTAGCTCAAACTCTCCCATTTCTCTTGCATCTCGATCTTGATTGACTCTGAGGAGATCTGTTAATACTGACCGGGCATTAAATCATTGCTGACTGCATACATTGCTAAACAAACCTGGTGCACTGTGCTAGTCAGATCCATACTTCCGTCGCCTGAGATGCAGGAAGTGGTCAGGGACCTTTCTGAGTAAGTAAAGTACTTTGGATAAAAGCCTGCATGTATAATCGCTCTTCCTTTGTCCTCAAACTTATTTGGGGGGGCTCAAGAGGAACCTGCACCACTCCAGAAACAACAACAAAAAGAGAGTTTTTCAAAAAGCTTTACAATTTTTCTGTTCCTCAAAGGTTGTGCAATTTAGCTAGTGCTTTCCCTTTGCTCTCAGGCATGTGGGGAGCACAGATTTTTTTCCCTTAAAAATATGCCAACTTGCTTCATTCTCTCTTTGCCCCAATGAGATTGTGTTTTTTCTATTTGAAACCTCTTACTGAAGTCCTTTCTGCCTTTTCTTTATAGCTGATGTTCATTCAGAGCAGAGGTCAAGTTCAGTTAACCATTGAACTGCTGGACACGGAAGAGGAGAACTCTGATGACCCTGTAGAAGCAGAGGTAAGAGCAGCTTGTCCAGAGAGCTATCTGTGATGGTTGAGGGTGCACTGGATGAAGGTGTCCAGTTGACTGTTGTTGTTGAAACATCAAGGACACACCGTAAAGCTTTCAGTGACGTGAGTAGGCAAATCCTTCTTGTTTTATTTTGTATTTGAAAACCATCAAAACCATATGGAGAAATGTTGTACTTGCCTTTTTGGGGACAAGATGCACGGAGCCTTCAAAACTGACCTTGTGCTCATCCATGTAACTTCCAGCTTAGCCTCCTTAACCATCCCATGTTGTTTGGTGGGAAGGCAGTGGCTGATCTGTGCTCTGTGCTCGCTTCCAGCGCTGGTCGGACTACGTGGAGCGGTACGTCAACTCCGACTCTACCTCCCCCGAGCTCCGGGAGCACCTGGCCCAGAAGCCCGTCTTCCTGCCGAGGTGAGTGGCCAGGCTGTGCTGTGAACCCTACCCGGCGGGCTGTATCAGTGCTGGGCGGTCACTCTCACCTCTATTTCGATGCCACGGCAGAAGCCGTTACCCTGGCAGCGTGGGGTAGAGGTACGGTGCTGCCATTCACCCTAAAAGCCCGCGGGGTCCACCCCAGGCTCCTGCTCTCCAGTGACTGAGAGACGGCGTGGTCCACGGGTGGGGGAGAGAGCGGGGGCTGGTGACTCGCCAGATTGGGTTTGTTTTCTTTTTTTGGCAGTCCTTCCTTGGCTTACGGTAACCTTCTACCTGAAAACAGCAGGTGCTACATCAAAGATTTCCGTGAGCATGGAGTTGACAGCACAATAGCCATGATTTCAGAAATAAGATAAACCCAGTGGGCCGACTCGTCTTACGGGTCTGAGCCTGAATGACTGCACCGGACAGTTGTTCTTCAAGCTGTTTTCCAGGCTTTTGAGTGGCCAGCACAGATCCACCAGCTACCTCCAGCCTGGTAGTGCTAAAGGGTGAGCATAATTCCAAGAGGGGTTCTCTGGTTTGCAGGAATCTGAGGCGGATCCGTAAGTGTCAGCGTGGTCGGGAGCAGCAGGAGAAGGAAGGGAAGGAGGGAAACAGTAAGAAGTCCATGGAGAACGTGGAGAGCTTGGACAAGCTGGAGTGTAAATTCAAACTGAACTCCTATAAGATGGTGTACGTGATCAAATCGGAGGATTACATGTACAGGAGGACCGCTCTGCTGCGAGCTCAGCAGGTAGGAGCAAGCGGAAGGACTGGGGTGGGCAGCTGGCGCTTCCCGGGACCCCCTGCTCCCAAAGGGCAGCTGGGGAGTCTCAAGATAAAACATCCTTGGGGATCCCGATCGGTAACATGTAGCAGTCTTGGTGTTGCCAGCAGGATGGTACACTGTTTTGTCCTCCCGAGGCCTTCTGAATGTTCCTAAGGTGTAATCTGTACCACCTCTAACTCTCATCATCCTCCCACCTCTCCTCCCTTCTTTCCAGAGAGTTTTATTATGGTAGGACAGTGGTGTTGACTGTAAGCTCTCAGATTCCTTCCAGGAGGTGCTTCCCATGGGTGGTGGTCCCCCTGTTGTAGGGAAGACCTGACCTTCTGCACGTTCTTGTGGTGACATGTGAGAGTGCCTGTTCTTCCAGGCCTTCCCCAAAAGAGGAATCAGAGTGCAGAACATCAGATGCCTTCTGTCCCCCTGGATTCCTCTGGGTACCAGTCCCTCATCGTTTCGTGACCCCAGTCACGGAGAGCAGGAGTCCTCGGGTCGCTCCCGCAGGGCAGGGTGCAGCCAGCACGTGGCAGCAGCTCCAGAAAATCTGGTTTTGTGGCAGGGATGGGAGCAGTGAGGTCACTGATACAGAAAAATCCCCATACATATTTTTCTAGGGCTTGGCAGCCCTGGACCCAAGGGTCTGTGACATCTCACATCTAGCAGTCAATGCTTGTGATTGCTAATTTAAGTTGGAATTTGACTTTTTGAAGTTAGTCAAATTTGCTTTCAGTTCTCTGTGCCGAAAAGTAACTGTGGGAGCAAGGGAAGGAGGAGGTGACTGGGATAGGTGGGGGAGGCAGGGGAGCGGAGATGCAGGAGGGGAAGGAAGTTCCAGCTCTTCTTGAGCTGTAAAGGTTGGGATCTATTCAAGATGAAAACAGCCTGTGACTCCAGATTGGCGAAATTCAGGAGGATTCAGTTGGAAAAAGCTGATTTGGTCTTCTGAACACTTTGACACTCGGTTACTTTTCTCATCCCACAGGGGTATTTCCATCCAACAGAGAAAAACAGGGAGCTTTAACAACAAAATCCAGTTCTAGTCTGGCTATTTAGACTCAAGGTTTGAAATGCTTCACTATAATTTTGTTGCAAACTATTTAAAACACAACATTAAGCAGAATGCCGTTGCTTAGAATGTAAAAGAAAGTGAAACCTGCCAGATTCACACAAAAGCCACTGACTTAAACAACTAAAAGCAGAGGTACCCAAGAAGCTCATCCTTCACAGCTCTGTTTTAGTCATGTATTGGACTTATAAAACAACTACTTGCCATCTGTTTCTTGCTGATGAAACACAAATACTGCTTTTATTTCATTAGTTGTAAAGTAATTTTGTTAAACTTGCATTCACATCAGATGAGAGTGTTTTATTTCCGTAGTGACTCTTTGAAATGCCGATACGGAGGATTTTGATTGGATTCGATCTGTCCCATTCAACTGGCACGAACCTCAAGGAAAAATAATCTCATAAACGGGATTCTATGTGCTAGTGCTTTTCACAGAGAATCTGAATATAAGTCATATTATTGAACTGTTAAATATACAGCATGCAGCATAGCCCCTCGGCTACGGAAGTGCACCAAAGGAGCTGCAGAAGCTACATGGAAGTACAAATCTATTGGATTTAACGGTTAACACTGAGAAGCAGTCAGTCTTTGGGAGAAGAACAAAACAAACAAAATACATAGGTTTTAATCCTGAGGTTTAATTATATTTGCTGTTTTCAATTATGACTGTAGTCATGGCTTTCAAGCCATGGCTTTTACACCATCTGTCCTGGATTTTATGTTCCTTAAGCAGACGCTCTTACTCAAAAATGTGTACACAGTTTTTTCCTCTCCTGTTGCTTCTGTTAAGCCAGTGGTTCTCAAGCCTTTCTAGACCTGACCCAGTTCTTAATTTTCCATAGCAGTTAGGTCCCGCGACACGTGTCATGCGTGTTGAGCTTGCTCTCTCCTGGGGCTGTGCCCCTCCACGGCGGGCTGGAGGCAGACCCCAAGGGCTGGGGAGAGCGGGGCTTGCCTGCTCCAGGGTCCACCTTTGCTCCTGGCTGCTTGAGGGGGAGGAGGAGGAGGCAGCATCTTTTGGGCAATGCAGAAGGGACTCCGTGCTGGCCGTGCAGCTCTCGGGCTCCCGCGGGGTATGTTTGGTGTCCCCAGCCTGAGAGCTGCTGTATTAAACAAAGAGCATAAACCTTTTGGTATTTCTGACTCAAATTTTGATACTGTACTTGCTTTGGAGGGGAGACCCGGGGCCCTTTATCAGAACTTTTCCTCTGTCTTTAGCAAGGGCCGGCGTCCGCGTTACAAATTCCCTCTGGCTGTTGATCCCCTCGGCTGCGTCAACCGGCAGCCGAGCTTTTTGCATAACACTGCAGTTTGGGGGCCGAAAGCACCTTTTTTTCTAACACCTCTTCCTATTTCTGTAGTCCCACGAAAGAGTGAGCAAGCGACTGCACCAGCGGTTCCAGGCCTGGGTGGACAAATGGACCAAGGAGCACGTGCCCCGCGAAATGGCAGCCGAGACAAACAAGTGGCTAATGGGCGAAGGGTTGGAGGGCTTGGTGCCCTGCACCACCACCTGTGACACAGAGACCCTGCACTTTGTGAGCATTAACAAGTACCGCGTCAAATACGGCACGATATTCAAGACACCGTAAAAATCCCCCGGGGCGAGGGAAGAGCCCGGGAGATGTGTGTGTGTGTGCGCGCATCAAGGAAAGGAGGAAGATGCCTTTCTCCCCCCTCACTGTGTGTCTCCGTAACATGGCCACTTGACTAGTGCGTGGCTGGTACAACCTGTCACCAGCGGGATTCCCCGTAGGGACGCGGATCTCCGCCGGCGCCCGCTGGGACCGTGGGCCAGCGGCCCCTGGACTTCGGCACGCGTCCCCGGAGGGCGGGAAGGGACCCTTCTCTGAACTGAGCCACCCCAGAGAAACACAACGAGCTCGTACACACCAGCAGTGTGGAGGCTTTGACTCCCCGGAGGCCCCGAGCGGCGAGGGAAGAGAACCGGAGGCTCTCCACGACCGGACCGCTTGGATGTGTCCCAAAATCCCCAGGTGCCTGTCGCGACCGGATTCTCCTCCCTTCACGCTGCCGCCGCCGGCCCGCCGGGCTCCTGCGGGGCCGTGGGGCAGCCCCACGCCAGCCACCTCACGGAGCGGGCCCCCGGTTCCTCCCGCCTCCCTCTCCTCCCTCCCAGGCTGGACTCACCCCGTGCAGATCGGTCTGTCCTTTCTAGTGCCAGTGGAACTGTTTAGTTTTTTGGGGGTTTGTTTTTTGTTTTTGCTTTTTTTTTTGTTTGTTTGTTTTTTTTTTTTTTTTTTTTTGTACCTGCTTGTTTACTAGTCTCTCCTAGTGCCATGCACCAGCTTTTCACACACATGTACGTACACACACACAAAACAGAGAACAACACGATTTTAACATGTTCCCCTCCTTTTTTGTAAATAAATGTACAAATTGTCAATTTTGGGTTTTTTTTTTTTTTTGGTTGGTTTTTGTTTTCGTTTTGTTTTGTTTTGTTTTTTAATTAAAGGAAGTATGCTTGATGTGCTAGCATAACTGTACCTAGCTTCTTGTGTACCATAGTACCAGGTGGCTTGAGAATTAGTACCGACAGACAGACCGACGGAGACATTTATTACACTTTTTACCAAAGGGAGTTATCATTGTAGTGCTTTTGTGTGGAAACTTTTTTCTCCTTTTTTTGTAAATAAAAATAATGTCTTTGTTCTTAACTGGAGGAAGACACTCGCTCACCCACAGCCCTGTTCCTGGTCTGAAAGGCACCGTGCAGCATGCAGTTTTTGGGGTGGGGAAGGGGAGGGGGGGCACATCCGACCATTTTGTATGAATGGTTTCACAATCTGAGAGGAAAAAGCAGAGGCAGCGCGTGCGTTCGGCGGTTAACACAACCGAGGTATAAGCAGCCTGTTAAGATATATAAATATATAGTATATAATTTTAAAATTTTTAATTTTTGTTTTTCCTGGTGGGTAATTTTTATCCACCTAGTCTTCCGGCTCCAAGGACCTTCGCTTTTGGGAAGTGTTGCTGAGCTATTTAGCTGGGGTTGATTGTGCTGATGTATTTTTCCCTCTCAGTATTGGAGAAAACATCATCTGAAGTACCAAACCAGTATTTGATAGAGCTGCTCTGCGTGTGTGTTTGTGTGCGTGCGTGCGTGCGAGAGAAGGGCGAGGGGCTGGGGCGGGTCTCGGTGCATTTCACTAGTGAAATCCGCATATGGGATATATATTTTTTTAAGTATAGAAGTTTAGCGCTGGCAGATATTTAAAACACGGGGGAAGATTCCGATTTTAAAAAAAAAAAAAAAGAGAAGTCGGCACGGACTTCGTAAGCCACGACAGACACAACTGCACTGTCTCTCCTCCTCAAAGGAGGCAGCTTTCCTTGCACAAACCCATGCTGCCAGTCCTAAGCACCCAAAACGGCCTCCGTCGTCCCATCAACCTCTCCCAGGGATTTATTTTTTTTTTTTTCCCAAGCCAGCAGGCAGTCTCCTCCCGGCACCGGCGAGGCCGGGGAGCGGGTCCGGAGGGGGACCACTACTCATTGGCAGCCACCGTGCAGCAGGCAGATGGTGAACGGGAGCCTCCTATGGAGAGAGGGAAAGCCAGGGAAGAGCCCAGCGGGGATTACTCACAGTTTGCCAGCAATAAATTCCCTGTCTCGTTTCTCCTCCCTCGCTGTAACCAGGCAGGAAGGGGCTCTGGCACATCCTCTTCCATTTCAAAGGTTTCACGCGCACTCCCTTGCTCTCTATTTCCAACACGTCCCCCCCTCTTTTTTTTTTTATTTTTTTATTTTTTTATTTTTTATTCCCCTGTTGTATGCTCAAGGTGATCTGGAAGTGAAAATCTTGGGTGATTTAGACTCTTGACCAGCTCGGAAGCGAACAGCCGCTGCTGCTCGGTGGGTGTCTTGTCCCGGGAGCCGGTGTCAGCGAGCGCGAGGGGGGCTGGCGTGGACCCCCGGGACACGCTGCCTTCGGCGCCCCCCGCCCTCCGTCCCGCACCCCAGCTCTGCTCCCAGCCTGTACAATAGCAGAGGTTTGGTTTGGGTTTTTTTTTGGTTTGGTTTTTTTTTTTTTTTTCTTTCTATTTGAACTCGCTTTTTGTATTCTGTAACGTGATCCTCGGCCCACAATCCATGTGATTTCTATACAAATGTTGTAAACTTGACTGTAGTGCAGTATTTCCATTAAAATATCAGGGCTAATCACTGCGTACGGATTCTTCCTTCTTTCCTGACGACACACAGTGAAATTTTGGGGCGCTTCGGAGGGGAAAAGAAGAGGGGCCGGGGAGGGCGGGAGGCGGGGGCGGGCCGGCGCCGCGCATGCGCAGGGCGCGGCGGGGCACCCAGCATGGCCGCCCTCAAGCACCGGCGCACGGCGCTGGAGCGGGTCGAGAAGTTCCTCTCCGAGACCTATTTCACCGACTGCAACCTGCGGGGCAGGTGGGAGGTTTTGGGGGGGGGGGACACACCTCTCCCGGCGCCCGGGCCTGCTCCCGCTCCTGTGTGTGTGTGTGAGATACCCCCCAGCTCCACCGGTGCCCCCTCAGGGGAGGCCGCTCCCCCCCCCGGTCGCTGCCGGCCAGGGCTGCGGGGACCCGGGGGGCGCTTAGTGAGCAAATCCCCCCTACACACGCTCCCACCCCCCTTGGCCAGCCTGGGGCTATGCCTCGGGGTGCCTCTGCCCCCCCAGCCCTCCGCTGCAGGGCTGCCTGTAGGGGTATGTTGCTGGGGGTCCAGCTCCAGCAACCCCCCTTCAACAAAGCAAATTATTACACTGTTGTTCAGCTCATACTTTTGAGGGTGTTAAGTGATAGCAGGGTGATACTGCCATGCTGGGAAAGCAGGGTGCTCCCCATCCCCACCCCCTGGGCTGGTCCCCGCAGGACTGGCCTTATTAATCGTGTCCCGGCTGTCACCGACCGCAGGCTTTTTGGGGATCGCTGTCCGCCCACATCACTCTCCTGCTTCCAGACCCCACGGCGCATCCCGTATGATGAGGCCGTCAGGCAGGAATTCAGGCCAGCTAAAGTGGGAGACTCCTTTGGGCCTACGTGAGTACCAGGTTTCGGTGGTGCCGCGAGCGTTGGAGGGGCTGGGGCTCGCGTCTCAGGGTTACTTGTATGTGTGAATCCTCACGAGCTCTCAGTGGCAAAGAAATGAGATGATAATCCTCTTCCCTGTTGTGTGCTTCAGGTAGAAGGTGTCTGCCTAGAAACCCTTAGGGAGACTTCATGAAAAAACAGGCTGAGATGTGTCTCCTTTCCAGGGAGAGTGTAGAGCTGGGTTCATCGATCCTCTGTGCTGAGAGTTTGTGTTCGTAGTCTTGGTTATGACCCTGATGCTTGCTTCTGTATGGGACCCGTATGCTTTGTCAAGGCTGAGAGAAGAGTGGTTTTATTTTTCCCAGCAGTGGTCAAAAACATGATGCTACTGTCTGTTTCTCTGGGGTCCCAGAGGAGGCTGCGTTAGGCCAGCACCGCGGGGTTTGTGTGCTGCTTTCTGAGCTGCCTCACCCGCCGGGGCTGCTGTGCCTGCTTGCAGCCTGGGCACTAGCCTGCCCTGGGGGTAAAAAAGGGCCGTGGTAAGAAGGATCACAGGTCAGTCGTACTGTGTAAACTGCCCTGCCCCAGGCAGAATGCAATTCCTGCTACCCCCGGGTTTCACTGTCTTCTGGGTTGCTGTGGGGGATGAAGGAACAGTTTACCAGTCCCCATCAGCTTGAACAAGTGCATCGCCCCACTCGGCTTGGCTTTTAACTTGCTGTCAAATCCCTAACCCTCAACAATGACTGACAATAGTGGGTTCTGCAAGTTAGAAGTTTCGCTTGGTGAAAGAGCAGCAGGTCAGGTCAGCAGCTCACGGTGAAGGGAAAGCTCAGTGCATTCAAAGGGCACGGAACAAGGCTGGCATGTGCAGGCACTCTGTGCTGCTTAAACTGGAGATGTGTCACACACAGGGAGCCACGACTATGTCTGGGGGCACGGGGTAAAGCAAGTCTGTACGGACGGGTGGCATCGTTGCATTTGAATCACATCAAACTTGTGTGCTGTCCCCGTTATGCTTTTTCCAAGGAGGCTCTGAGGAAGGGTGGTTTCCCTTGGGAGAAGGTCTCCTGGTGGGCTGAGGCTGCTGCCTGCTCTCTTCCAGGTGGGAGACGTGCTGGTTTAAGGTGGAGCTGAGCATCCCCCCGGCATGGGCAGGGAGGGAAGTGCACTTCATCTGGGAGAGCGATGGGGAGGGCATGGTGTGGCGAGACGCCCAGCCTGTCCAGGTAAGGAGCTGAGGATCAGGGGTGTGCCAGCTGTGTCCGGTGCTCTGCTATGTATAGAGTGGTTTTCTCCCTTAGCCCTCTACAGTGGGGCAGTAGAAGAAACCCCCTCCTGTTTGTTATGCACTCTTCAGGTGAATGCCTACCAGTGTTGGGGGGTGTAAAATAACGTGTGGACAAACAGGAGAGAACCGGGAACAACTGGAGATCTAGACAGAGTGGTCAGAAAGAAGAACAGGAGGTTATGTAGTTGAAGAGTTGTTTAGCCTCAAGTGGTAATCTCTGAGATAATAGGAGAGCTGTCTAAATACATGAAGAACTGCTGAAGGGCAGTGTTTGTGAAGTCTGATGTGTGGGGTGGGAGAGAGGACTACTCTTGTGGTTTGCATGTTGTGCTGTCAGACCACAGAGGGTCTGTGGGTTAGTGTCAAAGTTCAGCCCAGAAAGGCAAGCCTGCTGGTGGTGGGTTTGAGTCTTTTCTAGAGGTTGCCCCTGCCAAGAGTTAAAATTCTGGTCTGCAAACCGGGAACAGCTGAAAATCCCTTGCTTGGGCATTAGCAAATCTGTCTTGGAGGAAGGATAGGCAAGCATTGGGCCCGAGTTGTGAATCTCCACTGCTGTCAAGAACAGTGGGATAGGCTCTCGTCACACGTGCCAACTTCAGTCCTGCTTTGGGGTGGTGGAATGGCTCAGGTGGACTTTTGCGACCCTGCCCTGCTCTGAGGTGGTGCCTACAGCATTTGTGTTTTCCGTGCTGGTTGTTCTTGTGGTAAGCATTGTCCCACGAGACGTGGGACCAGGCCTCGCCATCCCATCCAGCTGGATGTGTCTTGTCCTACCCATCCAGCCTGCTGCCATGGACCTCTGAAGAGTGTGTTAAATGTGCCATCTTCCCCTGCAGGGTTTGACTAAGGAAGGTGAGAAGACCAGCTACATCCTGACAAGTAGCATGGAAGAGTCAGAGCCCCACAGGTGGGTAGGCAGTGCTGGGGGAGCTTGGCGTTGTTTGAAGCCAAGAGGCCGGGCAGGACGACACATCCCTCTCTGTGTCCCGGTGCTCTGAGAAGTATCTAGTGTTTGGGGGCCCTGTCTGTTGTTCAGGTCAGGCCAGTCCTGCCCGAACCGGGTGATTTCCTGGCCGATTGCTTGTGATCTGCTCGCTGATGGTTTCCTTTTGCTCTCCGCAGTCTGACGCTGTACGTGGAGCTGGCCTGCAACGGTCTCTTTGGGGCCGGCAAGGGCAGTATGATCGCCCCTCCAGACCCTGACAGGAGGTTCACCCTGAGCAGGGCTGAGCTGGTCGTCTTCCACAGAGATGTCTACGAACTGCTAGTGGATCTGGAAATACTGCTGGACATGGCCCAGGTCTGTGAGCTCCTTCTCTTCCTTTCTCCCACCCTTTCCACCTCCTTCCACAGCTTCATTTTATCTCCTCCTCCCACCATTCCATGCCCTGTCTCCTCCCAGTAGGAGGCCCTGGAGAAGCAGTTGTTTGCTGTTGCTGTTTTAGCACAATTGATGTTGTCTAGAGTAGGAGAAAACTGAACAAAGAGAAGCCACAGGTGTTCTTTTCATCCATTTTCTGCTCCAAGGCAGGATCAGTTAGACCAGAGCCCCCTGGGGTGGGTGTACATGTAACCTGGCTTTAGAAGGCACATGGGCAAAGACTTAAGGTTGTGTCTGTGAAGCAGGGACACGGTGCTTGCCTGGCACTGCTGGCAGAGTCAGATGTTGGAAGGAGGCAGCAGGTTCTCCCTGAGGCAGGTGGCATCCAAGCTGGTAGAGAGAGGTGCTCTGTGCCAGAGGATGTGCTGAGCTCAGAGTCAAGCTGTTATCACTCCCAACCCCAGCTCCTCGGGGAGGAAAACCAGAGGAGTTTCCAGGCACTGTACACTGCCAACCAGATGGTCAACGTGTGTGACGTTACGGACCCCTCCACCTTCCCCGCTGCCCGTGACCTGGCTGCAGGGATCTTCAGCCAGAGGAACGGCGAGAGCCAGCACACCATCCATGCCGTGGGTCACTGCCACATTGACTCTGGTGAGAGCAGCACAGCGTTCCCTCTCTGCTGCCCTGGAGGCTTGGGCGTGCTGCCCAAGGGGAGAGCTGGCTGCCCTTGGGCTCCAGGCACTGGGTACTGTCCCCTGAGGGATGGATAAAGGGACCTCTGTGCTGCCATACAGCTGGTCTGTCACCAAGGCAGGGGAACGTGTGTCTGGCTAGCTGTGCCACGTGGAGCACTGACAGGGCTGGTGGTGAGGGATGAGTTACAGACCGCTGTCTTCCACCTGTTGGACTTCACCCCTCGATTTCCAGTCCCCAGAGGGGTGTCAGTCTCAACAGAAAGGCAGCAGGAGAAGAGGGAGCTGGAGGCCCCAGGCTAAGTTGCTGTCAGGTACTTAGCCAAAGGACAGCATTGTGCTCTAGCATTTTTTTCCCCAGCTGATCTGTGAAAGGCAGCACAGCCCCGTTCCCAGGGGATGCTGTGCTGATCAGTAACCGTGGGGGGGGCCGTGCCTGTCCCCGCAGCCTGGCTGTGGCCGTACGAGGAGACCGTCCGTAAGTGCGCTCGGAGCTGGGTCACGGTGATCCGTCTGATGGAGTGCAACCCGGAGCTCACCTTCGCCTGCTCCCAGGTGAGCGATGTCTCTCTGGGGGATCTCTCCTTCTGCTCGTGGCTTGTTGCTTCTCCAGCATGACTCGAAACGAGATGGAGGGGGAGCTTGACCGGGAGGGTCCCGTGCAGTTGCAGAGAAGGGGGGGGCATCAGTGTGGAGCGATGTGGTGGGAGCTGAGGCTGATCTCTGTGCTCTGGCAGGCGCAACAGTTCGAATGGGTGCGGAGCTGGTACCCTGGGCTCTACGCCCAGATTCAGGACTTCGTGGCGAAGGGGCAGTTCATTCCTGTCGGAGGCACTTGGGTGGAAATGGTG